CGGGCGGGCCTGGCAACGGACGCGCGTCCCTGGCGACGCGGCCTTCCCGCGGCGCCTCGCAGGCATGGCGGCCCCCGACTTGCTCCGCGCGCCCGATGGCGGTGAGGGGGGGAACAGGGCGCCGGGGCTGAGGAGCCGGCGCTCCGGGGGCGCGGCTTCACCGTCCCCGGCGCGGGCCTGGCAGAGCCGCCCTCCCGCCAGAGCCCGCCGGGCAGGGCGCAGCAGCGGCCGCCAGTCCCGGGCGCGGGCCTTCTGCCCCGGGGGCCACGGCTCCCTGGCCGAGTTGCGGGGACTCCTGGGGGCGGCGTGTCCGGGCCAGGCCGCAGTGGAGTTGGCCTGGGCGGGGACGTCCCTCCCCGGGCGCTTTCGGTGCAGCAGATGAGGCCCCAGGGCAGCTGCGCCGAGGAGCGCGGAGCTCGGCTCTGCAGCACGCACGTCGCCAGGCTTGGGTCCCCCCCACCTCCCCCAGGGCCATGCCCAGGAGCCAGGAGCCTGTGGTGAAGAAGGGCACACAGCCCACTTGTGCCCAGAAGCCCTCTTTTCATGCTTATGAGATCTCTTGTGCGGGAGGGTATTTTGAGAGCGTCAGCTGGAGGCAGTGCCTGTGCGTCTCTTAGCAGGTAGCCAAGCTACAAGCAACCCGCCAGGACAGGATCACTCTTGGGCCCGCTCCGTCCGACAGCGCCTTGCTACCCAACTCCAAGAAGTTGGACATGCTGACCCGAAGCTCGTGGAAGCGCTTGTGGCAGAGCTCATTGCTGTCTTCCATGCCGTGCTGCAGAAGAGCAGCCGACACGCCTGGCTATGCCTGATCGAGGCCCTGCAGTTGATCGCTCCCTTTCAGGAACTTTTGTCTGGGCAAGCAGAGCTGGCACCATACCTGGAAGGACTCTATTATCAGTTTCAGAGCTGTCAGGCCTTGGTCTCTGACTTGGATGTCCTAGGGGCCATTTGGCGATCCTTCCCCAAGGACTGTTCCATCCTATGGGCCTCTCCAAGGGCCACCTGTTCTCGAGATCCTGCAGACCCAGCTAAGCTGCTGCCATCCAGCCAAGAGCCAGTTTTTGCAGGCCTACCCTGCCCTTTTGTTGCTGACTGGACAGCAGCTGGACTGTCTGGCACGTTGAAACTGGAGCCTGTGTCCCTTCAGGAGTTGCAAAGATGTGTGGGGCTTGTAGGCAGTGAGGTGGCTCGAGGGGAGGCCCCCTGGGCCAACAGCTTGGGCTTCATGCCTCTGGCTGTAGCTGTAGATGTGCCCACGGAATACCCCTGCGAGGAGGCAAGCAGCACTGGAGGGTAAGGCCCCAGCAAGTGGGCCCGGAAGCCCCCGTGGGATTTCCACCGAAAGATGACATTACACACACTCCCTTTCTTTCTCCTTGACTATGCTTCAGATTCTCTTTGGAGAGGGGCAGGAAGACCTTGGGACCGGCCCCAGCACCCAAGAAGGCAGGGATGGTGGTGGCGACGGCAGCGGCAGACAGGGAAATGCCAATGACAGGCCTCCAGGCTTCAGAGGTCTTTGCAAAGAACCGGCACTCAGGGGAAATCCGTTTCCTATACCTTAATGTTGCGCACAACCGGCACTTCAGGTACCCCCATGTTCTGCCTGGTCTACCATTATCCCCAGGTGTATCTGTTCCCCTCCCATTACTTCCTTGCTTGGGATGACAAGGAAGGGAGGAGTTTTCCACTCAGTCAGTCTGCCCAGTCTGCCCCCACCTCCTGACTAGTAGATCCCTTCAGAATCTTGGGCAGGGGACTCGTTCAGCTTCCATTCAGCTGGAGAGGCTAATGACCGACTGTACTGCTACTGTTGTGGCTTCTTTCTTTATCATTCCAGTTTGTATACTGCTTTGTAAGAGAATACCAAAGCAGTGAACAACAAAATAATAACAGTAACAAATGCAACCAAATACGTTAACAAGTTTAAAAGTTGAGCTACTCCTGAGGGCAAAACTGTGTAAAAACTAAAAATTTTACACGAAAGTCAAGACTTTAGGGGCTTGCTTAATATGCACAGGGGTGAATTCTGCAATGTACAAAAAGCTCCTTTTTTGGTGGTCATAAGAGGAACCTTTGGGCCATGTGGCACCCCTGAAAGTGCCTCCCCTAAGGATCGCGACTGGGCAGCGGCACGAGGGGAGGCAGTTCTTCAGGTAACCTACTATACAAGATTGAGCTCGGTCTGATTTAACACTGTTCCTCTTAGAGGGGATCTGGCCCTGCCAAATGGCTAACAATCAGCCCCCAGCCGGGCCCAGTAGCCTGTGGGCAACCTGTGCTGTTCTCGCAGCAAAACTTGCATGCTGCAGGGAGGATGCCTCCGACGGCAGCCGTGCCGCACGCTGCCACTTTCTGCACCAGCACAGTTCCCAGAGCAGCTCCAAGGGAAGCCCTGCAAAGGGCACACAGCAGCAGCCCTGTCTTGAGATTACCAGTGCCTAGACCAGTGCAACTGACCTGTCCCCGCCCAATCAGCTGTAGCTGTTGTACCACCTGGACTGGTGGAAGGCCCCACTAGCCGTTGAGCCCCCCCTTCCTCCAGAGGAAGTGTAGCTCTGTCCAGAACAGGTAATTGATCTACATGTACATCCCACTTTTTTCCTACAGAGAACCCAAGGCTCTTTGCACAGCCTTCCTCCTGTCTGGTTGATCCCACAACAGCTTTATGAGGAGGCCAGGCGGACAGTGAGTGACTTGCCCAAAGTCACCCAGCAAGATTCATGGCTCAGGAGGGACTAGAACCCAGTTCTGCTGAGTCCCCTTTCACTACTGCACCACACTGACTCAGACTTGGACCTCTCACCCGCATTGCTTCTGATTGTCCAGGGTTCAAGCTCGGTGGCTGGGCTCTCATGCAGCCCATCACTTTGTCCAAGCGAAGTTACAGAGCCAGCACTATCAAGCCCAGTTCAGATATTACAGAAAAACAGCTTCATATAGATATTTTACAACATAGCTGGCACAATGGTGTCCTTTGGCACTGCACAACACAAGCCCTAGGGGTCCCAGAAGCACTTCCCTGTTGCCGCTCCCTAGAATGCGGAGCCAGTGTGGTGCCGTGGTTAAGCGCGGGCTCTGGGACTCGGGCAACCCGGGTTCTTGCCCACTCAGCCGTGGAGCCAACAGGGTGACTTCGGGCCAGGCACAGACTCTCAGCCCAACCTACCGCACACTGAGAGCAGGAGGAAGGTAATGATGCAAGCCACTTCGAGTGCTTAAAAAAAAGGAAAAGTAAAAGGCAGGATAGGAATCTGATAAACTGACAGACACACAAGTCCTGATCATGCACACAGGAATTGAACCACCGAAGTGCAGTGCCCTGGCTCAAATCTCTCAGAGCTTGTTCAGGAGAATGCTATGATCTATGGGATAGAAAGCTACAGAAAGGCTGAGTAAAAAAAACAAAACAAAAAAAATCACACTTTGGTTTGTTCCTCCCTTGATAAAGCTCATCTATCAGGGCGAACAAAGCCAATTTGGCCAGTTAGGGAACACAGGTGTCAGCCACCCCCACTGCAGTGGGTCTGGACCAGTGCTTTTCTCCAGGAGTGCCTACAGTTCCAGGAGCATAGCTCTCTGAAGAGCCGGCCCTCCACATGGGAAAGAATAGCGGCCCCCGGGGGGGGCTTCTTTGGGGAAGGTCATGCTATGGCTGCCTTAAGAGCCAAGGACACGTCTCACCTGCACATTCGCCACACCTTGATCACACTCCACAGACAAGATTAAAGGAGTTACGTGGAGAAGGGCCAAGGGGACATTTTCCTGTGGCTTTTTTGATGCCTCACTTGTATAGCACAGTGCTTTGATGTCTCTCTGCCAAAAGGAGCTCACCAGCTGGATTGTGGGGGGCACACAGCTGAGAGGAGGAGGAGGAACGGCCAGGCAGCCGAGGGGCATTTACGTGTGGGTGTCCTGCGACGCTGCTGTTGGGAGAGGAGGGGAAAGGGGGGCTGTTCTGTCTCTGGGGGCACCAGCATGACAGGCTGGCCTGGCAGAAGGGCCTGGCTCACGTGCTTCCCCGCTCCCCTCCCACCCGCTCTCTGCAGGCCGTATGACCTGGTGGCTGTCCCCAAGCACCTGATCAACCCGCTGCACTACATCTTCTCGCCCTATGGGGTGCTGCGTGTCCACCCCAAGGAGGGATCAGAGGCGCTTTCCCTGGGCGACTGGCACCGGGAAGCAGTGCTGTGGCAGCTGATGCAGCATATCCCTTTTTTCCGGCTCTTCCTGGTCCGCAAAGCCTTCGCCCGGTGAGTGGCAGTTGGAGAAGCTGCAGGCCCCCTGCCTGGCCAGGCCCGGCCCGGCCCGGCCTGGCCCGGCCCGGCCCGGGCAGGGCAGGACTGCTGCAGGGAGGGGGCGAGGGGCGCCTTGCACTCATGCCGAGCTTCTCTGCCCGCAGCTGGTGCTTCAACGTGAAACACCTGCAGCGCCTGAAGCACCGGGAGAAGCTGCGTCTGCAGCTGCTCCAGGCCGTGCCGCACTTTGGGGCAGCACTCCTGCACATTTCCAGGTGAGCGTGCGGTGTGGCCCGCTCACCCCACCTGGCCCCTTCAGCGGGCCTGTGCGGTGGCCCTGGCACCCACCTCTGCCTCTGCTCAGCAGGCTCCTGCAGGAGCTGCGCTCCGTCCACTGGCTGCCCACGGATAGCTCCAGGTGCTACAGCTTCCCCGAGCTGCAACGAGCCTTGGCCAAGGAGAACAGCCATGCGCAGGGGCTCCTCAGCAGGTTCCTCACCCTTTGCTCCTCGATCCTGGAGCTGGTAAGTACCGATGGGAGCAGGGCAGAAGCGCGGCCCTGGCGTGTGTGTTGGCGAGAGGAATGGGAGGAGAGGCACACGGCTCCTCCTTTGCCCAGCAGAGGCTGCTTCTGCATGTGCCCCCTCGATCTGGAGAAACAGAGCACCGTTGGGAGGTGTGTCGTCCCCCCCCCCCCCCGCCGTTATGGACCTTTCCCCGGTGGCCACCTTAATGTCTTTTCAGCACCAAAGATGTTTCTATTTTACTAAGTCTTTTAAAATAAGTTCGTTTAGGAGGTCTATAGCCCAGTTTTTGACTAGAATCTTGAAATGGTGTATACAGTGCATGGAAGGCGACGGATGCAGCAAGAGTACTTGCTCAAACTGCAAGTGGAGCAACAAAACCGGATCCCCCCAGGCAGGAGCCAGGAGCCAGCCTCTGCTCCTTCCCACAGGCACTTGTCCGCCCGCGTTGTGCCGCCCGGCCTGGTGTGGAGGGGTGGGGCAGTCCAGCTGGAACAGGCCTTGATGCGCTCAGCATCCTATTAGGGCATGAGAAGAGCCATGGCGGATCAGGCCCGTGGTCCGTCCGGTCAGGGTCCCCCAGGACAGTCTTCAGACTGGAGAACTGAAGACTCGTAGAGCTGGAACAGGCCAGCAGGCCGATGGGTTAAAGCCCTGCTATTGCAGGACACCTTTCGAGTGTCTCAAATAAGGGAGAGCCGGCAGCTCCCCCGGTAAGAGGTCCCATTGTTGCGCTGCTCTGACAGTGACGACAGTACCGCTCTTCCTGGTGTTTAGTCTCGATCTGGTTTCGTTTAACTTACATCTGATATTCCTTGTCCTACACTCTGAAATGGATGAGAGGAGAGCTTGTGCTTCCTCTTTGTGACACCCCTTAAGGTACTTGCAGAGTGGGGTCATATCCCCCTGAGTCTTCTCTTCTTGAGGCTGAATGAGCCTAGTTCTCTCAATCTTTCCTCACAGAGCTTTACCTCCAGTCCCTGAGTCGTCCGTGTTGCATTCTTTCTAGCTTTCTGCATCTTTTCAAAGCTTAGGTGCTCAGAACTGGACTCAGTACTCCAGGTGAGGACTCAGCAGTACTGAGTACAGGGGAACTAGTACTTCATGTGCTTCTGCTAATGCAGCCCAAGAGAGCATTTGCCCTTTTTGCAGCTGCATCACCTTGTTGGCTCATGTTTGGTTTGTGATCTACAACAACTCCAAGGTCCTTGCAATATTGTTTGCTTGTTTGTTTATGTATTTAGACAACTTATATGCCGCCCCCTTCACATAAGCCTCGGGGTGGCTTACAATCATTAAAATCCCACATATAAATACAAAAAACACATAAAACACATAGAATACATAAAATAGTGGAAACAGCCTGGTCAGTTTAAAATCAAGAAATAAACCTTAACAATTAAAATAGCGTTTAAATAAAAAGGTCTTGGCCTGGCACCGAAAAGCAAATAATGACGGCGCCAGGCGGACCTCTCTGGGGAGCGCATTCCATAGGTTGGGCGCCACCGCAGAGAAGGCCCTCCTCCGAGTACTCACCCTCCTAATTTCCTTCATGGAGGGTTCCCAGAGAAGGGCCTCAGTCGCCGATCTCAGGGGACGGGAGGGCATATATGGACGCAGGCGCTCCTTTAGGTATTGTTGAGCCAAGCGTTCCCCATTTTGCAGCAAAACATTTGCTTTCTTGTTCCTAAATGGAGGACTTGACATTTGTCCCCACCGAATTTCATTCCGTCACTCTCTGCCCAGCATTCTAACCTATCAAGATCACCCTGTAGCTTATCTCTGTCTTTCAGAGTATTTGCTGTTCCACCCCGCTTTGGGCCATTGGCAAATGTAATTATCTTCCCTTGTACTTTCCCATTAATAAAAAAGATGAAAAGTCCTAGTCCCAGGACAGACCCCTGTGGCAGCCTACATGTCCACCCCTCTGCGGTTTGAGACTGCCATTGATGAGCTCTCCTTGAGTCTGATTTAGCAGCCAATTGTGGATCTGCCGAATAGTTGTACTCGCTAGCCCACATTTTGCTAGTTTGATAATCAGGGTGTTGTCAAAGGCTTTGCTGAAGTCCGCAGCATTCCCACAGTCCACTTGGGAGGTTCCTTAGGCAAAAAATGGAAGTAGATTTGTCTGGCAGGGTATGTTCTGGAGAAATCCATGTTGGCTTCTAATAATTACTGCATTGTTTTCAAGGTGTTTGCAGACTATTTGCTCTATAATTTGCTCTAGATTGTTTCCAGGGATTGATGTCAGAGTGACCGGCATAAAGTTCCCAGGTTGATCTTTTCTGCCTTGTAGATAGGGATGGTATTAGTCCTTTTCCATACATCTGGCACATCTGTCTTCCCTGAATTCTCAAAGATGATAAGATAATGGTTCTGAGAGTTCTTCCACTAGCTTAGACCAATACTCTGCAACATTTTTATTAATGCTTTGGATGAGGAAGTGCAGGGAACAGATATCAGATTTGCAAATGATATAAACCTGGATGGGATAGCTAATACGCTGGGAGACAGAAACAAAATTCAAAGAGATCTTGATAGGCTGGAGGGATGAGGAAAGATTTTCTGTGGGGAGAAATGCTGAGTTCTGAACTGAGGAAAAAGAAGACAAATGCATAGTTACAAGATGGGAGATTCCCCCAGGTTCTATTCATTGAATCGTACAGCAGTAGTGTTAGAAGGGGCCATGACGGCCATCGGGTCAACCCCCTGCTGTTGCAGGACACCACGTTACACCATCCTACTCAGCGGGCGGTCCAGTTTCTTTTTGAATGTCTCTAGTGTGGGGGAGCCTGCCACCTCTCCAGGCAGCTGGTTCCACTGTCGTATCGCTTTTCCTGATGTCCAGCCTGAATCTGGGTTGCCGCAGCTTGACTTGATTATTCCATGTCCTGCACTCTGGCATCAGTGAGAAGATATCTTGACCTTCCTCTTCGTGACAGCCTTTGAGGTACTTATGGAGGGATATCATGTCCCCCCTCAGTCTTCTCTTCACAAGGCTGAACATGCCCGGTTCTCTGTCTCTCCTCACAGGGCAGTGTTCCCAAATCCTGGATCATTTTTGCTGCCCTCTGCTGGACCCTATCTATTATAATGAGAGAGGGGAATAATGTCTCCTCATCACTTTCTCCACACCGTGCACTTTTATTTTTGAACAATTTCAGATAAGACTAATATCATTTTTCTCTCTTGTCTGCTCTTTCTAGTTGTTCAGAGATACCTTTTTGTGATTAGCTAAATTTGATTATTGTTGCTACTAGTTTTAATTATCTGTGTGGTGTTGGATCCTAATGTGGTATTTCAACTATATTACGTGCATTTTATCTTCATGCTCTGTAACCTTTTCCTCATACATCACCCAGAGAACTGTATTGTGGGTCAATTAACAGCTATATATAAATAAAATGTTAGATCATTCCGGACTGGATACTCCAGACATGGAATATTTTCTCTTACAAGATCTCAGTTGTGCTGAAGCATCAAGAAAGTCCAAAGATCGTTCTACAGCCTAGACATGACAGAACGCTTTAATAGTGTGTGACTAGTGACGTAGGAGTTGCAAGCCATCATTAGAAATAACTCTTTAATACCATGTTTGAAAATGGTGAAATAGAAGACAAAATCAAAACTAGAACATAAACATAACGATAAAAAAGCAGTTTGTGGCAGAACATTTTTCATTTAGGTGTTTATGTATCAGTGTTGGAACAACGCATAAATTTAAAAAGAAACACAGATCAGCTTTGCAACCAAATGTTGCCGTGCAATCCTGGCACCTGTTCAGGGTTCCAGGCAGCCACTCCTTCCGATGCTGCTCTTCTCCTTACTACCCTGTAAACTGTATTTCTGTTTGTTTATTCACATACTGACAGGCTGCCTATCACTGCCAAAAGGCTGCCTTGGCAGCTCACAGCAGTGGTCTCTCTGCATTCTGTGGCTACTGAATACTTGGGCGCAGGGGAGGCATCAGTGTCATCTTAGAGGTGTTTTGTACTTTTGCAAATATTGGGGTTTTATTAAACTTGCTGATACATCTTTGTTCTCACTGGCCCCATTTTAATTACAGTTCTGGTGATACTAAAAAGCATGTATTGAAAGAGCAACTGAAACAATTGCTGAAATGGTGCTGGTTCTTGAAAAATAAGATTGGAAGTTTACAGAGGATGTGAAGTTGGTGGCAAAGTTGATGATGATGGTACTGTGGTGCTTTAGAGCTAAGATACACATAAAACCATGCAGTAAAATTATAGGAATGCAGCTGTTGAATAATCAACAGGCTCACCTAACACATCACCACAAATCTCACTGTTTCGTGTGTTACTCTGGCAGGTGCGGGATGACACGTACAAGATGGTACATGGGCTGCAGATGAAAGTGCAGAGCTACAAGCTGTACATAACCAAGGGGTCCCTGTACCACCAGCGGATGCAGTATGAGGAGCTGCTGCGCCAGCTACAGGAAGCGGAATCCTGGCTGCAGAGGCTGGGCTTCCTGGCCCTGCTGGTGAATCTCCTCATCTGCCAGACGCTGGTCTCCACCATGCAGGAAGATGCCACCACCTTTGTTGAGCGCACCATGAAGGTTCTGTGCCCCGGGAGGGGGCCCGTTTTCTGCCACTGCCTGCCTGTTGTGGGGCCACAGTGAGGGCTCTGGGGGCAGATTCCCAGTGCATGAGCCTCTGTCCCAGGGGTCAGACAAGAGGCCGTGCCTTGGCCAGGACCCGGAAGGCTTCCGCACATTCACCTGCCCCTTGGCGCCTCCCTTTGCAGGCTGATGGCACCAGGCGGAAGGCCGTTCTTGGGGTGCATCTGGTGTTCAGCGCCGATAGCAAGCTCATGCTCTTCCCTTCCAAGGAGGAGCTGGAGGACTGCCTGCTCGGGGCCGTGAATACAGTGGTGGAGTCCGTCTTGCAGGTACGTTCAGTTCCGGATGCTATGCAGGAGCTGGCCATGTGCTGTTCCAGGGGGGCTCCACTGAGTTGGCAGTGGCACTGGGCGTAGGGACTGGACTTGCTTCTCCCAGTTAGTGTAGTGACAGGCAGGGAGAGAAATGGCATGGAGTGGAGGGCGAGCCCGGCAAGGGCAGCACGGCCCAGCCAGCTAATTACTGTCCGGTGTTCCAGCCCCGCTCCCAGCTGCAGGTTTAGTGGTCACCTCATCAGCCTGCCTTCAGGTCTCCAGAAGCTGCTTTTAAATGTCAGATCAGTGCATTGTAAGACCTTCCTCATCCTTGATTGAATAGCAGATGAGGTGGCCAGTCTGGCCTGCATAACCAAGACCTGGGTGGGTGACTGCGGGGAGCTCGTCTTTCCCAGCTCTGCCCACCTGGGTACTGGGTACAGCACCCCAAGGGACTGGGGGGGCAGGGGGGGCCACACTGTTAAAGGAACCCTCTTCCTCCAGCTTGCTCTCCATCTGGCGTCCAACCCAGAGTGCTGGCAGCTTGTGCTGGGCCAGGCTGGGGATTCTGTTGCTCGACTGTCCACCCTGTGGTCCAACAGCCCCGCTTCCCAAGCTGGCACCGGTTGTCTCAGCTGCAGTGTTAGGGTTGCCCAAGCTGCTGGCCCTGGGGAATGGCAGCATCCATTCTGGGGCAGCTCAGAATTTCAGGGACTCCATGACAACTGCGGGGCTGTCCCACTATGCTAGCAGCCCAACATGTAGCAGGGCACACTCTAGATGTGGCTTTTGTGAGCTGGGTCTGGAGATAACGATCTGAAGATAAGGGACTAGGAACTACAGGCCAGCTAGTCCGACATCAGCCCCTGGAGAAGTTCTGGGGGAAATTATTACAAAATCAGTCTGCAAGTATTTTGAAGAAAATGCAGTGATTAACAGAAGCCAGCATGGATTTATCAAAAATCAATCTTGCCAGACTAATTTAATCTCATTTTTGGATTGGGTTACCTCCCAAATGGACACTGGGAACACTGTGGACGTAATCCACCTAGACTTTAGCAAAGATTTTGACCCATGACATTGTGAAAAGCAAACTAGCAAAACGTGGACTAGAAAGAAAAACTATTAGGTGGATCCAAAATTGGCTGCTAAATCAGACACATCCAGTGCTCATCAGTGGCACCTTCTCAGACTGAAGGGAGGCAACTAGTGGGGTGCCAGTTCTGGGCACCAAGCTTTAAGGAAGATGCAGAAAAATTAGAAAGGGTCCCGAGGAGGGCAACAAAAATGATCCAGGGTTTGGAAACTGCCCAAGAGAACCGGGCATGTTCAGCCTTGAGAAAGGAAGACTGGGGGTGGGGGGACAGTATCCCTCTTATAAGTACCTCCAAGCCTGCCACAAAGAGGAAGGTCAAGATCTCTTCTTGCTGATTCAAGAGTGTAGGACACAGAAGAATCAATTCATGTTGTGGCAACCCAGATTCAGGGAAGACATTTAGAGCAGTTTCCTCGCTGTCAGAGCAATGCAAGAGTGGAACAAGTTGCCTGGAGAGGTGGGGGCTCTCCCACACTGGGGACACTCAAGGTGAAACTGGAGGGCCTCCTGAGCGGGATGGTGCAAACTGGTGTTCTGCAAGAGCAGGGGGTTGCCCGATGGCCTTCTGAGCGCCTTCCAGCTCTGCCATTCTAGGATGCTGTGACTTTGAACTGGTCCCTTTGTTGATCAGGGCATGCTGAGATTTAGGCTAACAATAACTTTTCTCCTCTGCAGAAGTGGGAGACCCAGTAAGATGGTCCCCCGCAAAGGCTGATAGTTGGGAGGGAACAGCCAGCTGGGCCAGGGAGGCGGTCAGTGCCTCTTTGTGGGAAAGAGTCTCTCTTGCCACCTGAAGCAAGCTGTGGTGAGGCCTCTCCTGAGAAAATCCTCCACACCCCCAAAGAACTCAATAGCCTTAGGCTGCTCTCGTCATCCCCTTCTTGGACAAGGTTCTTGAGTGGGTGGTGACCAACCAGCTCCAGGCACTCTTGGATGAGGCTGGTTATCTGGCTCCGTTGCAGTCAGGAGTCGTGCCTGTGTTGGGCATGGAAGCAGCTTCATTCCTGCACCTCTTGGCAGCTCTCATACCATCAGCCACGGTGTCCTTCTAGAGTGGCTGAGTTGGGAGTGAGGTGCATCGCGGAGCAGCGGCTCCTCTCCTGTTTGGTTTGCTGCTTGGGGCCCTGTTCTGCCCCTTCGATTGGCATATGGAGTCTCCAGGGCTTGTCCTTCATGCTTTTTAACATCCTCGTAAAAACCACTGAGCGAGGTCATCCGGAGTTTTGGAGTGTGTTGCCATCCATATGCTGATGACACCGCTCTATTTCTCCCTTTCCTCCGGAGCAGGTGTGGCTGTGGATGTGCTGAGCCACTGCCTGGCTGTGACAACTGGATGAGGGCTGGTGACCTGAGGCTCAGTCCGGATGAGGCTGAGAGGCTGGTAGTGGGCAGATCCCCTGATGGGATGGATAGGGCCTGACTAGTTCTAGATGGGGCTGCACTCCCTCTGAAGGAGCCAGTTCGTGGCTCGGAGGTGCTCCTCAGGGCATCTCTGTCACTTGAGGCCCAAGTGGCAAGGAGAGGGGCCTTTTCAGTGGTGGACACCCAGCTATGGGACCCTAACCATAACCCTAAATAAATCTGAACCAGCCCTGGAAGAAGGGGCAGGAATGAAATGAGGAGACCCGCAGGTCCACTGGTAGGACTGTGAGGACCAGATCGCATCTGCTTTGAGGAGCTCCAGTGAGCAGGTGGAGTCAGTCCTGTAGCCCTTTATCGGATCAAAAGAGCAGTCCAGCCGAGCCGCGCTGGGCATTTCTGCTGCCTGGCCCAGCCAACCGGGACTTTCCTGGGGTTGGAGGCAACTCCTTTTGTTTGGAAAGCAGGGAGAAGGATTCACCTGGCTCATTAGCATCAAGCCCCATTTTTCTAACAGCCAGTAATCCAACTTCCACTGGTTGGAAGTCCACTGGATATTTTAACTTATTGTCTTATCTAGTGCTGTAAGCCGCCCCGAGGCTTCAGCGAATGGGGCGGCATAAAAATGTTTTAATAAATAAATAAATAATTACTGCAGTATTCCTTTTTTGTATCACCAAACCAGCTTGACCTGCCAGCTTTGCATATTAAAGACGATGTGCTTAGAAGCCTTTTATCTAACTCTGCGTGGAAGTGAGGGCAGGCCTGTGGCACTGGGAGACCTTCTGGCTTTCCTTTACCTTCAGGCTACCCGGATCGGAAGTGAGAGACTGGAGGCTCAGGAGCACCTGCAGGGCACTGAGCAACCCTCAGCCACAGGAAATGGTGAGCCAAGTGGAAACACCCGTGTGACGGCAACCAAGGGTGTCCAAGGGCACCCTTGGACATGCGCATGGCAGGCATGTCGTAGCGGAGCCGGTTGGAGCCGGGGGTCAGACTAGATGGCACAGGAGGCCCCTTCTGACTGACTCTGTTTCTTGTTTCTAACTCTGGGGCAACCCCATCCCTTCTTGCTCTAATGCAGGTGTTGGGGATTTTATTTTAACCAACCATGATCAGCCTGGGAAAAAACAAGTCATTTTTGCCTTTTGATTATTGAGTTCTATTATAATCAATCGATCAGTTCTGTTTCGAGGTGGAATGCTGCATCAGACAGGGTGGCTTCCACGGTGGAACCAAAAGGATGGCATTTGCTGCTCGTTCTGCTGACTGACCTGTGGGTCTAGCTGCTCACCTGCACGTGCTGCGGCTCAGTGGTGGCGAATCTATAGCATGCGTGCCAGAGTGGGCACACAGAACCCTCTCTTTCGGCACACGAGCCAAGTCGCCCCAGCGGCTGAGCACCGGATAACAGCACACATAGGGGCCATGCGGACGGGAGCATCGGTGCCAGGCGATGTTGTCACGAGCCACGACTCATTAGCCACGACTTGTCTGAGTGTTCGCATGGCCGGTGGGTGCGCTGCCAAGGATATATATATTTGCTTGGACTGGCTGTGAGTTGTTTTTCCTAAACTAAAACCTCAGTTTTCAGGTTTTATTGCAGTGTTGGCACTTTGCGATAAATAGCTGGGTTTTGGGTTGTGGTTTGGGCACTTGGTCTCTATAAGGTTCACCATCACTGGGTTAGGGTTAATAAAACAAGGTGTCCTGGTATGATTTTGATTCTTGGAATGTGTTTAGAATGGGCAGAAATGTTGAGCAGTGCAGAAAAAGCTCCTCAAGGAAGGCTTTTTCAAAATTGCCCTCTTTTCAATGGAATTTTCACCCTATGCAGGGGTACCTCGGCTCATGAACACCTCAGTTCACGACCAAATCGGATCGCGAACAAAAATGTCATAAAAATTTTGACTCAGGTCAAGAACTCCGCATTGGGTGGCAACTGTGATCGGGGCCATCTCCCCACCCTCCCACCCCCCGAGTGGGGAGAGGGGCACAATTGGGTCGCACTCGTGGGGGGAAGGCAGGTGCGATCACGGTTGTGCCTGGGGGTGGGGTGAGATGGCCACGATCATGTTGGGTGGGGGAGATGGCTGAGATCGTGCCCATTTTCCTGCACGAGGACAACTGCGATCTCAGCCATCTCCCCTCCAGCATGATCACACCTTTCTCTCCCCCCAAACACACCTGCAAGGACACCTGTCTATGTCTGCGATGACGATCGTCTTGGGGGTGGGACATGGCCGTGCTTGTGCTCGGTGTCGGGGGAGGGGAGATTGCTGTGTTCTTTGTTGTTCTTTGTCACTTTGCTTCAAATGTTTCAGATCATCGTGAGGCCATAACTTACGTCTCCAATTAACTCACACAGCAGTCAGCAATAAAACTAAAGACTTCTACAGCTGTTTGCTGCAAGATTTATGATGCAACAGATTAGCTCTGGCAATGAGCACCTCACAGCTCAGTTGCCCCCTCCTTTCTGAACTCTGAGGGGAAAAGTCACGTGGATCTCAATCTCCTTTCACGCCTTTCTGTTCGTGGGTGGGACACACTTCTCTGCTGCCGTCTCAGTTGGTCTAACCACTGCAATCTTCTCCGGGGCTGAGCGTTCCATAAATTTCCCGTTACATCTTCCTGTTCTTCAGGACTCTGCCCAGCAGCTTCAGGGTCAGGAGGTGGGGGGCAACTTGTTCAAACACCTCAGAGTCTAGAGAAAGGGAAGCTGCACTCTGCTCAAACAACTCAGAGCCAGGGTGTGGGGAGGCTACTCGCTCGGAAGCCTCAGAGTCGGGCTGCAGAGGGGCCGTTTGGGCACTGGGCCCCAAGTATAAATCCCCTTGTTCCGATGCCTGACTCTCACTCTGAGCTTCTGGCCCTCTCTCGCATGCCAATGCCTCTGTCAAGCTGTTATGCACAACACAGATAAAAAAAAGTTACAGAATGGATTAACCTTATATACATGGAACCTTATGGAGAAATTTGTCTTGGCTCCCAACCAATTTGGGTCAGGACCGGAGTCCTGCAACGGATCAAGTTTGTGAACCAAGGTACCACTGTATTAGGGTTAGGGGTGTGCACCAGGGTAGGGTTAGGGTTAGAAAAACGAGGTGTCCTGGGATGGTTTGATGGTTGGAATGTGTTTAAAATGGGCAGAAATGTTGAGCGGTGCAGAAAAGGGTACTCAAGAAAGGCATTTTCAAAATCGCCTTATTTTCAGTGTTACTTTTGCCCTGTATTAGGGATAGGGGTGTGCACCCAGGTAAGGTTAGGGATAGAAACATGAAGTGTCCTGGCATTGTTTTGATGGTAGGAATGTATTTAGAATGGGTAGAATTGGTAAGCTGAGCAGAAATAACTACTCAAGGAAGGCTTTTTGAAAATCGCCCTCTTTTCAATGGAACTTTAGCCCCAGATTAGGGTTAGGGGTATGCACCACAGTAGGGTTAGGGATAGAAAAATGAAGTGTCCTGGAATGGTTTTGATGGTTGGAATGTTTTTAGAATGGGCTGAAATGTTGAGCAGTGCAGAAACAGCTATTCAAGGATGGCTTTTTCAAAGTCGCCGTCTTTTCAATGGAATTTTTGCCCTATATTAGGGTTAGGGGTGTGCACCAATGTAGGTTTAGGGTTAGAAAAATGAGGTGTCCTGGCACGATTTTGATGGTTGGAATGTGTTCAGAATGGGCGGAAATGATGAGCTGCGCAGAAAAACTTCCTCAAGGAAGGCTTTTTGAAAATCACCCTTTTCCATGGAACTTTAGCCCAATATTAGGGTTTGGGGTGTGCACCAAAGTAGGGTTAGGGTTAGAGAAATGAGATGTCTTGGCATTACTTTGGTGGTTGGAATGTGTTTAGAATGGGCAGAAATGTTGAACAGTGCAGAAAAAGCTTCTCAAGGAAGGCTTTTTTCAAAATCGCCCTATTTTCAGTAGAACTTTTCCTTATATTAGGGTTATGGGTGTGCACCAGGGTAGGGTTAGGGTTAGAAGAACGAGGTGTCCTGGCATGGTTTTGATGGTTGGAATGTGTTTGGAATGGGTAGAATTGGTGAGCTGTGCAGAAAAGGCTCCTCAAGGAGGGCATTTTCAAAATCACCCTCTTTCCAATGAAATTTTTGCCCTGTGTTAGGGTTACGGGTGTGCACCAGGGTAGGGTTTGGGTTGGAAAACGAGGTGTCCTGGAATGGTTTTGACAGTTGGAATGTATTTAGAATGGGCAGAAATGTTGAGCAGTGCAGAAAAAGCTCCTCAAGGAAGCCTTTTTTCAAAATTGCTGTCTTTTTAGTAGAACTTTTCCCTATATAAGGTTAGGGGTGTGCACCCGGGTAGGGTTAGGGATAGAAAAATGAGGTGTCCTGGCATGGTTTTGATGGTTGGAATGTGCTTAGAATGGGCCGAAATGTTGAGCAGTGCAGAAAATGCTAATCAAGGAAAGCTTTTTCAAAATCGCCCTCTTCTCAATGTACTTTTGCCTCATATTAAGGTTAGGGGTGTTCACCAGGGTAGGGTTAGGGTTAGGAAAATGAGGTGTCTTGGCATGACTTTGGTGGTTGAAATGTGTTTAGAATGGACAGAAATGATGAGCTGCGCAGAAAAACTTCCTCAAGGAAGGCTTTTTGAAAATCGCCCTGTTTTCAATGGAACTTTAACCCAATATAAGGTTAGGCGTGTGCACCAGGGTAGGGTTTGGGTCAGAAAAATGAGGTGTTCTGGAATGGTTTTGATGGTTGAAATGTGTTTCGAATGGGCAGAAATGTTGAATAGTGCAGAAAAAGCCCCTCAATGAAGGGTTTTTCAAAATCACCCTCTTTTCAATGGACTTTTGCCCCATATTAGGGTTTGGGGTGTGCTCCAGGGTAGGGTTAGCGTCAGAAAAACGAGGTGACCTGGCATGATTTTGATAGTTGAAAGATTTTCAGAATGGACAGAAATGTTGAGCAGTGTAGAAAAATCTACTCAGTGATGGCTTTTTCTAAATTGCCCCTTTCTCCATGGAACTTTAGCCCTATATTTGGGGTAGGGGAGTGCACCAGGGTAGGGTTAGGCCAGTGGTTTTTAACATATGGCATGCGTGCCACAGAGGGCATGCGGATGTCTCTCTGTCGGCACACCAGCCAAGTCGCCCCCGAAGGATGTGCCATAGGACGCATCACCCCAGCAGCCGAGCATCAGGTAACAGCGCACATAGGGGCCATGCCCATACTCAGAGCAGCAGCGCCAGGTGATGACGTCACAAGCCGTGACTCATTTACCGCAACTCGTCCGAGCTTTTGCATGTCCAGTCCCTGCACTGCCAAGGAGAGAGAGATATATATATATTTGCTTGGAGTGGCCATGAGGTGTTTTTCCTAAACTAAAACCTCAGTTTTCAGGTTTTATTGCAGTGTCAGCACTTGGTGATAAGTAAGTGGGTTTTGGGTTGCAGTTTGTGTACTTGGTCTCTAAAAGGTTCGCCATCACTGGTCTTGCTGCTCCCTTGCGGATGCTGTTGCTCTGCTGCTACGTTTCAAGTCTTTTGCATATTCATGCACTTTCATTCTCTGTCAGTTGCCTTTTGGATCTGAGAATGGAAGGTGTGAGTTACACATCTTCAGGACGACGTTCTGTCTCTTTGCAGCCACAGATGTGGTGGGCAGAGGCAGCAGCGCCGGGCACGGCTCCCCAGATTGCGTAGAGGTGCTCCCGCGTTTGTCCACGGCAGTGTTGTGTGGTGAGGAGGTCCAGCTGGTGCACCGCCTGGACCTGAAGGCCTTTGGCGGCCTGGAAGTGGTTGGCCACCGCCTGAGGGGTGAGTTCCCCTTGCTGTCACGGGAGCAGCTGGAGAACGACCTGCATTCAGACAGCATCATCCGGAAGGCCTTGGCCCAGCAGCGGGCCATGATCACGGTGAGTGCAGCCATGCAGAAGCCCTGTCGGGTTGGTACCCCTGCGAGGCCTGACTTGATTGAGCTCGGCAGGCCTCTGTTCCTGTGCAGTGAGGGCCTCTCTCTCGTCGTGCAGGAGGTCTCCTCGGTGGGCTTCCCCTGCTGCCCCTTCCATTCTGGCAGGACTCTGTGAAGAAAAAGCACGTGGTGGTCCCTGGGCAGGAGAGAGCTCTTTCCCCTGTGCCAGTCCCGCCTGGCTCCAGATGGCAGGTTTCCTTTGGAGCGCTTCTGCCTTTTTCCTGAGAGCTGTCTTTCTTTCTGCCCTTCAAAAAATAAAATGAATCAGAGACCCCAGAACGGGGGGCTGAGCAGCTGCTTCTTTGCTGGATGGTCGCCTGTGCTGCTACTGGCAGGAGAGTCACGCTGCATCAGCAGGGCTTTCACTGGGGCAGCTTGCAGATTTGTGTTGCTGTGTGGTCTCTGATTCACGCTGTCACTGTGAAGGGGAGCCCTCCAGAATGTTCGACCTTGATGGCCACGCTCAGCTCTTGCAGACTCAAGGATGTGGCTTCCTTTATGGAATTGGCCCATCTCATCTTTGCTCTTCCTCTCATTCTTCTGCCTTTGACTTTCCTCACTGTTTTTGTTTTCTCCAGGAAGTCTTGCCTTCTCATGATATGCCTGAAATGCAACAGCTTCAGGTTGTTCTGTTTCGCTTCCAGGGCAAGTTTTGGCTTCATTTGCTCTAGACCCACTTGTTTTTCTGCAATTGCCTTGTCCCCTTTTTAGTGCTTCTTCAATTCCAATATCATTCAATGACCCAACTGCTTCCCTATCTGCTTTCTTTCCCTTGATATATTTAAAGACTTCTTTATGTGCTCCTCAAACCATTTCCTTCTTAGCTTGTCTGCTTCCATCTCCCTTGTGCAATCTTGTGGTCCTTTCTCTTCTCTTCTCTTCATTTGGGCAGCGCTTCCATCTCTTGAAGGAAGCTTCTTTCTCCTTAATGGCTTCCTTGACACCACTTGTTAACCAAGCTGGTGATTTCTGAACTTTCTGCTGCCTTTTCTCGCTTATAGAACACATATTTTGTGTTCCTCTGCCATAGTATTTTTGAGTAATCTCCAGGTGCTAGGGAGTGGATGCATCTTCTTGGTTCACTTTCTTTGATTCTGCTTTAGTCTTGAAAAACATCCTTTTTTGAGGTCTCGTACAACCGTGTTCGAGCTCTTTGGCAGTCTTCCACCTACCCGCATACTAAATCTGATGCCGGTGTGGTCACTGTTACCTGATGGCTCAGCTGCTTTTTACCTCCTGCACTATGTCCTGGGCAGCCCCACCTAGGACTGAATCTGGGATTGCCTGGTTGGGTCCATGACCGACGTCTCTAGGGCACAATCATTTATGGCGGCGAGAAAATTGACCTCTCCGTCAGAACTGGCACATGCCCTTACCCAGTTGAAGCCCTCCTTCATTGCAGCACTGCCTTCGTGGGAGGCCTCCCTGCCCTCTTTTCCCTTGCAAGATCTCCCTGAGCTTTCCGGCCTGGGGATGCTAACAGACTACTGTGACTAAGCTAGTTCTGGCGCCAGGAACATTCACCCGCGCTGCTTCTGTGGAGGAGGCTTCCCACGCTGGAATATCAGCTTTGCTGGACTTTGACCCACAGGGCCACACCTCCTCCAGGACGCCCATCCCCGTCTTCACCGTGCGGTTTCTATCCAGAGATGACCGCATCCCATTGGCTATCTCTGCTCCACCATGTTTCCGTGATGCTCACTATATATAGCTCCTCAGTTATTTTCCATGCACCCCAACTTTCCCATAGAAATGCCAAGTAACTTGTCCTCCTGCTTTTGTTGGCATTTGTCATTTTGGCACTTTGTCCTCTGTGAGGGAACATAATGCCTTGTCCCGATCTTGTTGCCAGTTTCCTGCCCTGTTGAGCTCTGGCAATCTAAACCTGTCCCCCTTTCTTTATCCGCAAAGGATACATTCATCTGAACAGGACTTTTCCCAGCCCATCAGCCTCCTCCAGGATGTGGCGTAAAAGCTGCTCCACCACCTTTTGTATGTGGAGTGTCACAGGGAGAGGGCAGAGTCCTGGCATGGTGGGAGCAGGGGCAGGCGCGGCACCAGGGAAAGTGGCAGGGCAGTGCAGGGGCTGTGTGCCGATCTGCCTGAGCACTGGAAGGTGAGGGGAGGCCGATTCTGCCCATGGCCTCAGGCAGAGCCCTTTCTCTGCAAGAGCCAGGCCTGAGGACATACCCCGGTCAGGTCACGTGGGGGGAGCTCTTTTTTGGCACATGCCTCCAGGGGAAGTAGCAGAAGCCTTGGGACAGAAGCAGAGGGCACTTCTGCTGCCACAGAGGAGCCCCCTCCGGCATCGCCCCCGATCCAGCACGACAAACGCCAGCCTGGACGGTGCCCTCACTCACGGCCTCCCCTCCCGCAGGCCGCCCTGGAGGAGACGCAGCTCCTGTGCCGAGAGTACAACTGGCTGGACCAGATCTACCACTTCGTGCACAATTGGAGCAGCGGCCAGCTGGAGAGCATGAAGGGCTGGCCCGCCGAAGAGTACGTGAACCAGATCCTCAAGCTGCGTGCGTGGGCGAGCCAGGTGCAGAACGTGCCACGGGCCGTCATCACCTACAACCGCCTGCTCTTCGTGGACTGCAGCAGCATTCACCAGGACCTCTGTGCGTGTGCGGGGGGCGGGGGCGGGGGCCAGTGCCGTGGCTCCTGCCGCTGAACCACCGCCTCCCCCCTTGCAGTGCCCCTGCTGGCCTCCATCAATGAGGACATCCTGGCCCTGCTGCTGAGCGAGACCCTCCAGCGCAGCGAGCTGCTGATCACTGAACTGGCCGGCGTCCTGCAGCTGTACATGACCGTTGGCACGGACATCTTCACCGTCGCCAAGTGCTCCCAGAAGGTAGCTCTCTCCTCGGCCAGATGCCTCACTGCAGCTGCGCCCACGGCTGCCTCTTTATCTGTTTGCAGGGTCATCCCGGGATCTTTTATCTCGCCAAGGGGAACGTGCTGCGCTGCGTTTTCCAAAGCCATATTTGCCTGCTTTTCACATCACCTGCCCCCACTTCAGCTAGTCTGGAAGAAGACAGGACCTCACAAGCGAAGCCGGGTCCGTCCTGCCTCTAGAACAGACTTGGCAGCGGCGGCCCCATCCAGCCATGCCCAGCGATGGGGTGCGGCACCCAGTTCCCCCCCTCCCCGCAAGGCCTGCTCAGTCTCGTGGTGTCACCTTGGTTTCCTCTCTGGCCCCTCCCTCTTTGCCCCTCGTTTTCATATTCCCAAACTATGTTGCTTTCCGTTCACAACACTGAGAGAAGACCGCCTGTTCTCTCTTGTCTCCTCCTCTTGTCTCTCCTCTGGACAGCTCCCACCTGCTCTTTGCCAGATTTTCTTTATCTCGCCTGGCTCCCCTTCACGTCTCCCTGACTTGTCTCTCCAGCTGTGTGGCAAGTAAGAGGAGACATGGCCGAGGTGTATAGACTTAGGCAGAGCATGGAGACAATGGAGGGGGAGCCATCTTTCTCCCTTTTCCATAATTCTGAAACCCAAAAGGATCATTTCATGAAGATTCAGGACAGAGAAAAGGAAGGACTTCTTCCGTTCAATGAGATGCAGTGAAGGGCACCAATTTGGACATATTTTGAAGGGAACTAGAACATTTCATGGAGGAGAAGCGTATCCGTGCCTGTCAGGCCTGCTGGCTGTATGCCACCTCCCATATGCGCCAGTGGGTGGGGAACTTGGGCAGGAGGGTCTGTTTCCCCCAGGGCAGCTGGTTGCTCACAGCAGGGGGTTGCACTTGTTGGCCTTCTGGCCCCTTCCAACTCCGCTGTTCTATGATTCTGTGAATCAGACAGAAGGTCTGCGGAGTCTGCCATCTTGTTAAGCATGGGCGACAGCTAGATGGGTCTGGGATGCTCATATGTAGAGCATGAGTCTAATCCAGCAGTAGTAGTCTGTGCTGCAGTTATATCACAGTTGCAATCGGAGGAACTGCCTGCTTCGGTCGGAATTGTCATGCCCCCTGCAAGGGGCTCAGGTTCTCTGGAATCCCAAGGAAAGGGACACCGCGAGGGCTTGGTTTGCTTACAAGGAGATCCACTGAGTAAACTGAAGAACTTGCAGTGTTAGCGTGTTCTCAATCAGCAAGCAGTCAGCAAGGCTCCTGTAAGCTGGAGCAGATGGTCAGCAAAGCTGCTGATCGAAGCAAGGCATCCAAACTGGAGTCGGGCTCAGCACTCAGTTCTGTGGTCTCTGCTGCTAAGGCCAGGAAGCCTTGCAGTCCAGCTGTAGCAAAACCAGCATGAATGTGCCCCGTCCTAGCATGTCCAGCTGCAGCCAGACAACCCCCTGATGAGCAGGTTCCAGGAAGGGCTGGCAGATGCCCTCAGGCACCGCATCCAGCTGCAGTGTGAACGTGTTAGGTGCTGGCGTGTGGGCCTGCGGGTGTTTCCCACCAGCAGAGGCATCCAGAGCACCTTCTGGCCCCGTGCTTTTTGATGCGCTTAGGTGATCGAGTCCTGAGCGGGTGGACAGGTGCCTGGTCAAGTGCAGCCCACCCCTGGGGGCTCAGTCCTTGCTTCTCATGACTGATTACACACGCTCAGGCGGGGTTCCCACCTGGGTCCTGGAGGACGAAAGCATCCTGAGAGAGGAGCGGTGCCAGCCCCGCTGAAGGAGGCTGCAGTGAAGCCCCTCCTGTAGAGCCTTCTTTGGGCACAGGGGCTCACGGCTCTGGTTAGTGGCCCCGTTGTGGGTGAGGTGCCTGAGGAGGAGGCGGCTGGGCTGCTGCAGGCGCTCGAGCGAAACCAAGCCTCTCGATCCGCTTCAGCCTGGTGCCGGCCTGGTGTTGGAATGGAGGTTGCCTTGGCCATCCCGTGGGATGACCTTGGCTGGGAGAAGGCGGGGGAGCGCGACCCCTTTGGCTCTCCTGGGCCTCTCGGCGGCTTCTGATACCATCAGCCACTCTGTCCTTCTGGAGAGGCTGGCTGGGTTGGTGGGGGAGGCCCTGCGTCGCGGCACTTCCTCTCTTGACCGGCCGATTCCAGGAGGTGGTGCTGGGGACGCGCCATGCAGCCACGCCGTGGGTACCCCAGGGCTGCATTTTGTCCCCCGTGCTATTTGGCATCAGCACGAGGCGTCTGGGGAGGCTGTGCCTCTCGGCTCTGCCTCTTCTCCCTCAAACCAGCTGAGGCACTGGCTGCTCCACATCGGCGCCTGAGCATGGCAGCGGACTGGCCGAGGGCCAGCGCCCGGGATGCCGTCCGGGCACGGAGGGAGGCGCAGCTGGTGGGGTGGCGGCTCCGCTGTCCCGCTGGGAGATGCTCGGCCTGTCCTGGCGGGGCTGCACTCCCCCTGGGGACACGGTTCGCGGTCAGGGGCGCTCCTGGACCCGGAAGTGTCACCCGGTGCCGTGGGGCACCTGCCGTCCGCTCGTGCTGCTGTGCCAGCAACGGCCCCACCTGGGCAGAGGGGCCCGGCCGCAGTCGTCCATCTCTGGCCGCCTCTCCTCGGGTTGCTCCATGTGCCGCGCGCGGGCCGGCCTTTGGAAACAGCCTGGAGAGTTGGCGTGACGGAGACTGCCGGACAGCGAGGCTGCTGCCGGGGTGGCTCGCAGGGGCCGCCATGCCAGTCCTCGGCCAGCCGCACTGGCTGCTAGTTGAAGTCTGGGTCCTAAGCAGTGTAGGACCTGAGGGTCTCAGGGAGTGTCTCCATCCCTACAAGCCTAACCAGGCCCTAAGATCTTCCTCTGGGGCCCTGCTTTGGGAGCCTCCTTTGAAGGATGCCAGGAAGGGGGCTGCCTGGTGTGGGGCCTTTTCAGTCATCTGTGGAATCAGCTACCCGCCTGTACCAGGCACCTTCTTTGTACACATTCCAGTGCTAGGCAAAGGCTTTTTTTATGTTTTTGGCCATTCGAGTTGCACCTCTAAGGCGCAGGGTGAGGGCTGGAACTGCACAGGCCATGGAGGGGAGCTGGGAAATGGGGGCAGAATTCGGACCTGCCTGGAGCTGCTTCCCAGGCGTGGCTTGTGCTTGTCCGCCCGCAGCTGGAGCAGTACCAGGGCCAGATGACCGAGCTGCAGGAGTACGTGGACTACGTGCGTGCCCTCAACGAGGTCATCCAGCAGTGCTTCCGCCCCCTCAGCCCCAGCGAAGAGAACCTGGAGAACACGGTGCGCAGCTGCTCCCGGCCGGGGAGGGTGGCGAGGAGGAGGGACGCGCCTGAGCCAGGCCACAGCGGCCTCTGTCTCTCTCGGAGGCTGCCCCCGGTCAGGGAGGAGGCGTGAGAGGCCCCGAGCCACCCACACCCGCCTTGCTTCTGCCAGCGGAGAGCTGCCTGCTCTGGAGGGCATGGAGAGGCCCCCCGTCCCTGCCAGGGGGCCACCGGTGCAACCGTCCGGGCTGCCCTGGAGGCTGGGGGCAGGGTGGCGCCAGCGGAGTCTTGTGTGCCACCCGCAGGTGGCTGCCCCAGGCCTGCCCCTTTTGGCTTTGGGGACAGGGGCTGCTGGGAGCTGTGCTGGCCCCTCCTGGGCACCTCACTTCCGTTCCACCGCAGCACACTCTGAGCAGCTCCTGGCAGGGAAGGAGCCAGCCACCCGTCTCCCCTGCCCACCCCGTGTGGGGGGAACAGCAGAGGAATTCTCCACAGGCCTCGTGGGTCTGACCATCACGAGCCGCCCCACCACTTGCCGGACGTGGGCCAAGCACCCCTGAGCCACCTGCCTTCCCGCATTTGGGCTTCTGAGCAGCTCCTCCTCTTCCAGAGAAGAAGCAGGCGGGCAGCGTGCAAGGGCAGGGCAGGGCACAGCCACTGCGCCGCTCCCACTCCTCCTCGCCAGGCCCTGCCGGCTGGCTCGTTCGGACGCCCGGAGCATGGGGCAGGAGCCGAGCCCCCAGAGCTTTTTCTGTGTTGCAGCTCCTGGACACCTGGGATGCCTTTGTGTACCAGCAGCGGGAGGTCTCCGACTTCATCATCTCCCGGCGCCTCAACATCATTGCTGAGCTCCACAGCTCTCTTCAGAAAGCGACCCGAGAACTGCAGGAGCTGCTGGCCATGGTCACAGTGGGGCGCTTCCAGGACCCCTCCCAGAATCCCCGGGCCATGGAGGACGAGCTGCACCAGCTGGCCTGTCATTTCCAGGCCACGGTGGCACGGGTGACTGACCTCTGCCGCTCCCAGCGGATTCTGACCGGTAAGAGGGCCTGCCCCTGGGTCGCAGCCGTGGGCGCCCCTTCTCATGCGCTCCGCAGCAACGCCGCGGCCCTCTGCTGTGTCCTCAGGGGACTGCATGGACGTCTCCTTCGTCACGGGGAAGCAGGGGGTCATCGAGGTGCACACACGCGTCTGGCAGCTGCTCCGCATCATTTCTGAGCAGATCACAGAGTGGAAGTGCTTGGCTTTCGCCAAGGTAAAGTGGGCCAGGCGAGCCTGCAGCCCCGAGCTTGGCCACCCGTGCTTTGATGCGCCTGGCGGGCTTGGTGGCGTCGCTGGGAGGGGGGAGGCCGGGGCCCTGAGCAGCCCCAGGGGGAATCTCCCCCAGGACCCCCACTGGCAGCACCAGGGCAGCGGCTTCCCTTTGCATCCTGACTGATTGCCCAAATTGAAGTCGCGAGGGGGGTGGCTGGCAGAGCTCTCCCCTTCCGCCACAAGGGACGGCCCCTTGTCAGGCCCTGCCTTCTTGCCCATGGCTCTTCCTTCCCTTTGCATCCTTTTTCTAGCGGCACTCCTGGATAGATAGCCCCAGCCTGCCTCCCTTCCTGCTCTGGCTTTTCTTTCCCCTTCCTGGGTAGCCCAGCCTCCCTGTCCCCTTGCAGTTCAGCACTGCCCTGGCCATGGAGAAGACGGAGGAGTGGCAGAAGGAGGTGATCAGCCTCGAGCACTGCCTGCCCAACAACCACCCGGTCCTGCAGGCCTGCTTGCGTGCCATCGCCGACTTCCAGAAGTACTTCCCCCTGCTCCTGAAACTTGGCAGTCCCTTGCTCAAGCTCAGCTGCTGGAAGGAGATCTTTGCTGGTGACGCCTTGGGACTGGGAGTGGGACCCCTTGGCCTGTCCCGGGGGGCTGAGGGGGATCCTCAGGTGGGTCTGCATGCTTTGGCGGAGTCCAGTGGGGAGGAGTGGCCTTGCTAAATGAGGCGCCTGGGCAGGTGGTGGAGGTCAGCCTCGAGAGTTGTCTGAGGGGGCTCGGGCTGGGCCCAGCAACCTGCAAGTAAGGGTGGTTTTTGGCATCTGCCCTCTTCCAGTGATGGGTGTCAAGTGCCCGTTCAGCATGCAGTTCACACTGGGCCAGCTGCTCTCCTACCCACTGTTGGAGCACAGCGATGCCATCTTCAGGGTGAGTGACTCTGAAGACCAGTGACAGGAATGGGGGTCCCCACCTCCTGGCCAGGCCCAGTCCAGTATTCTTTGGCTCCCAGGTCTACATCTGTGAAAAAAACTGGCAGTATGCTAGGGACACCCTCCACCACCTGCAGAGGACCTGGGCTGAGAAGCAGTTCCGCTTGGTCAATTTCATCCTCAGCGTGCCCTACCAGGAGCCACAGCCAGAGCGCTTCCGACGCCCCGCGAGCGGGCGCCAGCGCCCAGCCAAGCTGGAATATATCTCCAAGGACAGTGGCACCTATGTGCTGTCAGGTGAGGCCTGGAGGTGCTCCGGTCGCAGCCAGCAGTGTTCCGTTGCAGAGGCAAGCTCTGCTCGGGGGCTGCCGGTGTGAGAAAGCCACGTGGGCTCAAGCCGTGAGGAGCCTCAGGCGGGAGGCCCTGCTGCAGCTGGTGGAGAGCTGGCTCCCCACAGGGTCCCACGAGCAGGATGTGCTCAGCCCTGCTCTCCCGCAGCTGGTGCACGCACACCCCCACCCTGCCTGTTACTGGACGTGGCACAGAGCCCTCAGGACAGGTAGTAATCGATACCCTGCTGCTGCGGGAATTGGATGGCTCCTGTTGTAAAGCTATCTGAATCCGTGGCCCTCGCTATATCCTGTGGAATGTTGTGCGTCCGGGATCTCCCACCAATCAGCTCCGTGAGAGCATGGGAGCGGGAGAAGCATGGCTGCCTCTCCACTCCCTTCATGCCAGGCATAATTCCGCACAGCCGACATGGCCTTGGTCACCCCTCGCCTAAGCTAAGCATTCTCAGCTCAGTGTAGGAGTCTCAATCCAGGGCGTTCTTGATCAATTTGAACGCCGGGCTGAAAGCAACAGAAGGAGATTCAGTAGAGACAAGTGTCAAATCCTCCACCTAGGAAAGAGGAACCAAAGGCATCGATACAGGATGGGGAACACATGGCTCAACAGAACTGAAAGAGAAAAAGATCTGGGAGTTAGTGTGGACAACAGGCTAAATATGAGACATCAGTGTGATGCAGCTGCAAAATGCTATTTTGGGATGCATTAATAGCAGTATTACTTCCAAATACTGGGTGAAACTTAGGGGTTTGACAGGGAAAGAGACCTGACAGTGGGGGTATGTTATCGCCTCCAGCTCGACTTGAGACCCTGGATGATGTCCTGACAGACCAGATTCTAAGGATATCTCGGGGGAGAGACACAGTAATTATGGAAAATTTCAATCTTCCGCATATTAGTTGGGAGACTCACTTGGCGGTGACGGCCAGGTCACGTTGTTTCCTAGAAGCTATAGAGGGAGGGTTTTTCACACAGAGGGTCCAAGAGGTGAGGGGGTGGGGAGATCCTTGACTTGGTCTTGACCAATAGAGAAGAGCTGATAGATGAAGTACAGTTTAGGGGAGCTCTGGATGCGAGTGATCACTCCATCCTTTGCTTTGAGATCAGGGGACTGGGGACTGGGGCTCTGTCGTGGGCGTGATTCTGTTCAGCCCCAGGTCGAGCACTAGAAGCTGGGACTTCAAGAGGGCCAACTTTGGCCAACTGAAGGCCAGACTGGGGAGAGTCTCCTGGGACAGGTTACGGGAAGGCAAGCGAGTTGAGGAAATGGGTACAGGGGCAAATAGACGAAAGGGTCTACCGGGAGGAGGAGGCCTGTTTGAGAATGATTCTTCGCAAGGCTAAGGCTGATTACGAGCTGAGACTTGCCAAGAATATCAAGAGCAACAAAAAGGGCTTCTTTCAGCATGTAAATAGGAAGAGGAAGGGGAGACAAGCGGTGGGACCACTAAATAAGGAGGAAGGAGATCCAGTGACTGATATGAGGGAACAGGCACAGATGCTAAATGACTATTTTGCCTCTGGGTTCTCCCCAAAGCAGGAGGGGGGATATCCGCATAGGAGATTAGATGAGGCCGGGGACTTAGGGGCACAGATTAGAGTCTCCCCCCTAGAAGTCGCGGAACTCCTCAGGGCATTGGACATTACAAAGGCACCAGGCCCTGACGGGTTACACCTGAGAGTAATTAGAGAGTTGGCAGGGGTTCTCTCACGCCCGCTGGCCTCCATTTTTGAGGCCTCATGGAGACTAGATGGCCCAGGAGGCCCCTTCTGACTCGCTCTGTTTCTATGTTTCAAATCATGAGAAGTACAAGTAGTACTTCCCTCATACTCTTCACTAGTCAGGCCTCATCTGTGTCCAGTTCCGGGCACCAAGGTTTAAGAAAGATGCAGAAAAATGAGAAAGGGTCCAGCCGAGGGCAACAAAAATGATCCTGAGTTTGGAACACTGCCCTCTAAGGAGAGACTGAGAACTGTGTACATTCAGCCTTGGGAAGAGAAGGCTGAGGAGGGACATGAGATCCCTCCAGAAGTACCTCAAAGGCTGCCACAAGAGGAAGGCCAAGGTCTCTCCTCGCTGATGCCAGAGTGCAGGCCTCGGAATAATCAAGTCAAGTTGCGGCAACCCAGATTCACGCTGGACATCAGGAAAAGCTTCCTCACTGGCAGAGCAAGAGGGCAGTGGGACCGGCTGCCTGGGGAGGAGGTGGGCTCTCCCACACTGGGGGCATCCAGAAAGAAGCTGGGCAGCCCTCTGAGTGGGAGGTGCAACGTGGTGACCTGCAGCAGCAGGGGTTGGACCCGAGGGCCTTCTGGCCCCTTCCAACCCTACTATTCTGTGAACATGCAATATCTATGAACAATTGCAATCTTCCCGCTTAGTGGAGTTGCTCGCTCCCCGTATCATTTTTCTGCACTTTTTCCGAGTGTACAATATTACCTTTTTGTGGTGTGCCAGCCGGAACTGTACCCAGTATTCTAAGTGCAATTGCAGCATAGATGCAAGGTGTGCTTGCTGATGATGCTTAATTCATGCTGGTGCCAGGCCAAAACCTTTCTATTTCCCCTGGTTTTTTATTGTTAAATGGCATTTTAATCACTTTAGCATCAAGTATTGGCTGGTTAAGGCACTTTGCCCCCTTCGTTCCCCTTCTTTCTGCCCCTTAGTTCTCCCACACACACACTTGTTTTCCTTCTTGTCACACATGGCTGTTTACTAGTAGGGCTGTGTTGCTGGTACCGCAGAAAGCACCAGTTCTTCTTGGTGGTCTCTGCACAGCACACAAATGGGTTTCACATCTGCATTTGGGAATTTCAGGCAGAGCCCCTTCCCCTTCCTCCAGTATAAATAGGAGGGGCTCCTGCCATTTCCCCCAGTTCTCCTTTGACCACCATTTTGAGTTTCTTGGGACTTTCCTAGCATTGCTATTTTCAAACTACTATTTACCTCAGAGTTCCTTCTTGACAATTCACCTCATATTTACCTCTTACCTTTCTCCTCACAAAAACCCTAATCTCTGCTGATTCTCCCTTTTTTCTTCTTCCCTCCTCCCCCCCAAAAGACCCCTCCTATCATCTCCTTATCGCAGAAATCCTTGTTTTTCCCCCCTCTCTTGATGGCTCTCAAGGTGACCTTTAGAATGTGTGTGCTGTGCAGAGTTAGAATGCCATATTCTGACGGACACCATTTGTAGAGCACTGTTATACGACCCCTCTGGCTTTTGTTGAGGCTAAGCATGCCCAGTTCTGGCCATCTCTCCTTGCTGGGCTTTGTCTCCAGTCCCTGGATCATCCCTGCTGTCCTCTGAACCTTGTCCACTTTTCTGCAGGACAGGACACAGTGCTCCAGATGAGGTCTTACTAGCGCTGAATAAAGGGGCGCTAGCACCTTTCAGGATTTGGACGTGATACTTCCATTGATACAGTCTAATACAGCATTTTTCCAGCCACATCACACTGTCGACTCACATTCAACCTGTGATCTACAACCCTGGTTTCCGACCTTTCCACAGCTGGGACCGGTGAAAACAGGAAAACCACCTCAGGCAGAAACAAAAAGCACCACACACATAAAAAAAGCACCACACTCAGGTGTCATAAGTACAGGTTAGGTGACAAGTGGCTGGAGAGCAGCACTTGTGAAAGGGACCTCGGGGTGCTGGTCGACTGCAGGCTAAACGTGAGTCAGCAGTGTGATGCGGTGGTCAAGAGGGCGAACGCCACCCTTGGTTGCATAGCCAGAAGTGTGGCTTCTAGATCAAGAGAGGTATTACTACCACTCTACATGACTCTAGTGCGCCCGCAACTGGAGTAATGTGTTCAGTTTTGGGCCCCTCATTACAGAAAGGATATAGTCAGGTTAGAGGCAGTGTAGCGTAGCGCCACAAGGTTGGTGGCCGGTTTGCAGGGGATGCCGTATGAGGCGAGACTGAGGGAACTGGGTCTCTTCAGCGTGGAGAAGAGGAGACTCAGAGGGGATCTGTTGGTGACATACAGGTACGTGAGGGGGTGTCACACGGAGGTGGGGAGAGGCCTGTTCTCCCCTGCAGAGGAAGGCAGGATGTGCTCCAACGGAGCAAAGCTCAGGGAGTCAAGGTTCCATTTGGATGCCAAGAAGCACTTCCTGACAGTCAGGACCCTGAGGGTGTGGAATGGGCCTCCATGAGAGGTCGTTGAGGCCCCATCGGTGCGGGAGTTCAAGGATAGGCTGGACGTCCACGTGGTGGGCATGTCGTGAGCGGAGCCGGCTGGTGCTGGAGGTCAGACTAGATGGCCCAGGAGACCCCTTCTGACTCGCTCTGTTCCTATGTTTCTATAACACAGTGTTCTGTGTATTAGTTTCCAAACGCAATACCAAACAAATGAAAACTCTCCAAAACAATCAGAAACCGGGCAACAAAAAATGCAACACAAGAACAAAATACCAACTTTGGTTCAGCGTGGTTCCTAGCTGGCTCCCACCAAGCCCTCTTCCCCTCCCCGGCCTCCCCGGTGGCACCAGCGCACCCCCCGTGAACACGATGCCAACCAAGGAGGAGTTGGTAGAGCACAGCCAGCCCCGCTGCCCGTCTGCGGCAAGTGGGGTGCAGCTCCCTGTGGACAAACCACTGATGGTTGCTAGATCCTTCTCGGTTGTGGTACTTTTGAGCCAAGGGTCTCCCATCTGGTAACTGTGCCTTTGGTTCCTTCTTCCGAAGTGCAGAACTTGGCATTTGCCCCTTGAATTGCATCCCCTTGCTTTCTGCCCGGTGCTTCAGCCTCTTGAGATGGCTTTAAATTTTGTTTGTGCCTTCCAGGGAATTAGGTACCCCATCCAATCTGATTGGCCTTCCCTGCACCTCTTCATCCAAGGCCTCAGTGAAACCTTGGAGAGTGCGGGGCCCAGGACTGAGCCCTGCGGGGCCCCCCTCGGTGCCTCTCCCCAGTCTGGGAAGTGCCGTGGGACGCGCTCTCTCTGAGGAGGTTCCGAGACTCCTGTGCACACTGGCCCTCCTCAGGCATGCACAGCTGCTGTTGATTTTAAGAAGGGTTGGGAGAAATAACCAATCTTACATAGGGGATTAAAAAATTCTCCCCACGCTTCATTATTTTCAGTCACTTCCCATTATATAGGTTTTCTAGATATAATTTTTGCAGAAGACAGACTGGGTGACAATATGTAAATACTTTGTCCTAAATTCTGAAAGAAAATTTTTCATGATTTGAAGCTGTTTGGTATTTTGGGGGGAAAAATAAGAACAGTCATGGAGGGTTCCCCCCCAGATGTTTCCATTTTTTTCTGAGCTTTTGCATCTCTGTTGCCAATACTGGGCTCGAGGTAGTCTGAGCTTGGACAGAGTGTGAGCCAGCCCGGCAGGCCTTCCGTGTCCCCTGCAGAGAGGGGGTCAGTCTCTCATGCACTGCAGACTGTTCAGTGGGAGTCGAGGAGCAAGATGGGAGCAGCTCGTGACCCCCTTCACAGGCCCGACATACTGCTCCCTCCTCAACTCGTCCCCTCCCCCACATTGCAGACACAGCAGAACTGAAGGCCAGCGTGGAGCACAGCATCGTGACCCTCCAGAACATGATCCTGTCCCCCTTCTCGGCAGACATCCAGGAGGAAGCCGAGAGCTGGGTGTCCACGCTGCGTGCCTTTGGTGAGGAGGAGGGGAAAGCGAGGACTGGCTCACGGCGGGGGGGGGGGGGGCTTGGAGGCGACCCCCTGCATGCCTCTGCTGGGCTGGGGCCTTGTAGGTTCACCGGGCAAGGAGGGGGCAGGAGCTGGGGCCTGGAGGCCTCCGGTTTCCCTCACCTTTCCTCCTCCCATCGCCTCCTCTTCATTTTCCCAGAATCACTCTTGGAAGCCTGGGTCAGTTTCCAGCAGAAATGGGTCTTCTTGAATATTGTTCTCTATGAGATGGACATTAGCCTTCCCAGTGCTGAACTGGTGAGTTTGGGGTGCTCCCCTTCGCTTCCCACACACCTCCCACCTTTGCAGGGCCTCCTGCAGTGAGCATTTGTGCACCCCCCCGCCCCGATTGCACAAGGGGTCCTCCCGCGGTCTACCCTGCCGCTCCTGCCCCTCTGCAGGATTTCCAGTTCCAGCAGGTGGATGGCCACTTCCGGGAGTTCATGCGGGTGACGTGTAGCGACCCGTTGGTGCTGTCCAGTGTGAGGCTGGTACCCGGCTCGAGCCGTGAGAGCCGCTTCATTGGGAGCTCCTTGCAAGCCGCGTTCACGGATGGATCCGGAGAGCTGCAGGTCATCATCCGGGCCTTGGACTACGTGCTGGAGGCCATTCGCATGGGCTTTCCCCGTCTCTTCTTCCTCAGCAACGAGGAGCTGGTGGCCATGCTTGCCACCGCCTCCGAGCCTGACCATGCCTCGGCCTGGGCCCGGCGCTGCTTCCCCGGGGTCTGCCAGCTGCAGCTCCTGGTGCCCTCTGCGGCCCAGAACCGGGACACGTTCTCTGCCCAGCTACCCGTGGTGCAGGTGACGGGCCTGGTGGGAGCCCGCAGGGAGACGGTGAAGCTCTGCAGCACAGTGTCCCTCTGCCGGAAGGCCACGCAGTGGCTCTGCACCTTGGAGCGGCACATGAAGGAGACCGTCTTCCACCTGGTGCAGGAGTGCGTGGCCCACCGGCTGGCCCTGCGCCCGCAACTGGACCTGGCCTTCGAGCGGCGCCCAGGGCCCACGGAGCTGCCCCTGCACTTGGTGGCCGAGCGCTGGGTGACCCTGGGAGGCAGCTTCCCCAGCCAGTGTGTGCTGCTGGCCGAGGAGGCGCTGTGGCGGGTGGCGGTGGAAGAGGCCCTGCCCGACCCCGGCCGGCGGCTGGCGCTGGAGCTCAAGCTGAGCCTCAGGCTGGAGGCGCTGGCCCACCATGTGCGCATCTACCGCAGCGCCCACCCCTGGGACCCGGAGGGTGACCCGCTGGGCCTGCTGCTGGAGGCCCTGCTGATCCTCATGGTGCAGCAGCGCGACGCCTTTGCCCAGCTGCTGGCGGCCCAGGCCAGCTCCCCGCAGGTGTTCGAGTGGGCCCGGCGCCTCAAGTACCACGTGGCCCTGAACCCGGAGAAGGGCCAAGCGGCAGGGCTCCCCGCGGGCAGCCCCTGGCTGGGCAGCCCCCCAGGCTGCTGGGTTGAGGTTCTTGACAGCCGCCTGGCCTACGATTACGAGTACTTGGGGCCCGGCCTGCGCCTCCTGGGGAGCCCCTCACTGGACCGCACGTTCCTGGGGCTGCTCCTGGCCCTGGATGAATTCCGCTGCGGCGGGCTGCTGGGCCGCCCCGACGTGGGCAAGTCCCACACGGTGCAGGGCCTGGCCCAGGCGCTCGGCCGGCAGCTGGTCACCCTCCACTGCGCCGTGCAGATGTCCGTCAGCTGCCTCGCCCGCCACCTCTGTGGGGCAGTGCACGCGGGGGCCCTGCTGCTGCTGGAATCTGCCGAGCAGCTTGAGGCGGCAGTGCTCTCTGCCCTCAGCCAGCACCTCATGGAGCTGCACCGGATGTGTCTACCCCTGCATGCCGGCAGGGGGGCCGCCGCCGGCCTCTCCTCCGCCACCGCCTCCCCAGACAGCCAGGACTCGGAGGGCTCGGAGGACTCGGAGCAGGGCGAGGGGCCCCCTGCAGTCCTCCTGCCGGAGCTGGGCACCAATGAGGCCGAGCCTTACCAGCCGCGCGTCCTGGGCAACATCCTCTTTGGGGGCCGGCTGCTGCGCGTGCGCGAGACCTACGGCTGCGTGGTCACGCTGGAGCGCCTCCCGGAGACCCTGCGCCTGGCCCTGCGCCCGCTGGCCGTGCTTCCCCCTGACCTCGCCAGGCTGGCGGAGGTCACCCTGCTGGCAGCCGGCTTCCGGGAAGCGGCACGGCTGGCGGACAAACTCTGCACCTTCCTGCGTCTGGAGGCGGAGCTGAGCCCTGGCCCGCGCCTCAGTCGGCCCACCCTGCTCCGGGAGGTGATCCGGACGGCCGTCAGCATCCTGTTCAGCCCCCCAGCCATGCAGGACCCGCTGTGCTCCAAGGGCAAGTCCTCCACCCGGACTGCCTTCCTGCTGGGCCTGGAGGAGGAGCCGGCCGTGATCAAGGCCCTGGCTGGCTCCCCCTTGCTCTGCGGCCCCGACTGCCCCCGGCTGCACAATGTGCGGGAGCTGCTGCGCGAGGTCTTCCCCAGCGCCCCCATGCAGCCGTGGGAGCCGCAGCTGCCGCCTCGCCTGCAGAGCGCTCTGGCTGCCCAGCTGCACGAGGGCAAGCTGCAGGCCGACCCGGAGTTCTTCCGCCTGGCAGGCCAGCTCTGCCAGGCCCTGCAGGGTGCCCCCAGCATCGTGCTCCTGGGACCCTCCGGGAGTGGCAAGACCACCGCCTGGCAGACCCTGGCCAAGGCCCAGAGCAGGCTGGCGGCCAGCGACGCGGCCCCTCGGGGGCCCAGTGTCAGCACCTCCCAGTGCACGCTCTCCCAGCCGGTCAGCACCGTCTGCCTGTGGCCCAACGGCCTGAGCGTGGCCGAGTTTGTGGGCAGCCTGGAGGGCAGCGTATGGAAGGACGGGGTCCTCTCCCGGCTCCTGCAGAAGGCGGCCACTTCCTCCGTCGTGGGCGGGGCGGGGATGGGGACCGGGAGCGGCCAGCAGTGGCTGGTGCTGGACGGAGCAGCCTCTGCCGAGTGGCTGGAGCCCATCTCCTCGCTGTTCAGCGCCAGGCCCTCCCTCAGCTTGCCCAACGGACAAAGGCTGGAGACCCCCGAGAACGTCCGGTTCTTCTTCGAGATGCCAGACGTATCCGGGATGCCCCCCTCCATCTGCATCCGCTGCACCTTGCTGCACTGTGAGGGCGCGAGCCTCTGGCGGGCGCTGCTCTCGTCGGAGCTGGCCTACGTGCACCGCAAGTACGGCCTGACCCAGGAGGGCCTGGCCATGCTGCGCGAGCTGGCCGAGGAGCTCTTCCCCGCCACGCTGGCCTTCCTGCAGCAGCACTGCTGCTCCACGCTGCTCCCGCACCCCCACCCGCAGAGCCCCCTGGCCCAGGGCGTGCAGGAGGTGACGGCCTTCGCCAGGATCCTCCACGCCCTGCTGGAGCAGTTTTTGCGCCGAGACAGGATCAAGCACCTGCCTGCTGCACAGGAGTCGACAGGCAAGTCTTCCCCACTCCCGGGAACAGCTGGGATCGAGGGCCGGGCCGGGGGACAGAGGCTGTGGCAGGAAACCTCGTTCTGCCCCAGGGCACGTCTGTGTTTGCACGCAGCCAGCCTGGCTTGTGTCCCCTCCCAGCCCTTGTCCTGCCCGAGAGGGGGCGCACCCATTACAACAGGGCTCCTTGATTTTGCCAGGAGAAACGAAGGCCGTCCCTCTTGCAGCTCATTCCTCTGGCCCTCACGGCCTGGATGACGCAGTTCCTGCCCATCACCACTTGCTTGCCCAGAGCACCTTCACCTTTGCCTACGTGTGGGGCTTTGGGGGCCACCTGCATCCCAGGTACATTGGTGGTTGGGGTCACACGGCAAGGCCTCTGCACTTCTTGGCACAGCAGGAGCTGAGGCCCGTGGGGTGAACGGCTTCGCTTCCCGGCCTGGTGGGAGCAGAGGCTCCCTGCCTTGAGGCCTCTCAGGAGGGTGACCTGCCTTCCCGTGCAGGCACTGGCCTCTCTTTGACCACTTTGTCCGCCGGGCCCTGAGTGGCAGCAGGTTCCGCATCGAGCTTCCTCCGGCGCCGTCCGTGTTCGACCTCTGCCCTGTGGCCGAGAAAGGTGCTCTGGAGCCGTTCAATGGCCAGTACCTGACTGGCCGGGTCAAGGGCATTCCTGCCAGCTTTTCTGTCCTGCCACAGGTATGGCCGAGCCCCCGCTTTCCCCGGCGGGAGACAGGGTGGCCCGGTGCGTCTGTGTGGCAGAGGCTTCTCTCTCTGCAGTACGAGCGGGTGCTTTTCGTGGTCGATCTGCTGCTGGGCTCCGATCAGCCCATCCTTCTGGTCGGGGAGCCGGGGTGCGGGAAGTCCTCCTTTGCCGAGGCGCTGGTGCAGCCCAACCACTACTACCACCGCGTGTGCCTCACCCCTGCCCTGAGTGCGGCCCACCTGCGCCACCTCCTGCACAAGAGGTCTCTCAGCATGATGCGGGACAAGGGCCTTTTCGCTGCCGGCAAATCCACCCGCGGTGCGGTCGGCAAAGGCCGCTGCCTCTTCTTCGTGGAGGACCTGCATTTGGCCTTCGTTGGTGAGTGGGGCAGGGTGCGCGGGGCTCCTCTCGGCCCTGCCCAGCTGGCCTGGCCTCCAGGAAGGGGCCGCTCCTGATTCACCTCATTTCTCGGCTGCCCGGTAGCTGCAGCTGTCTGGCTGATTAACAACTCACACAGGGCAGTGCGGTACAATACGGAATAGCAATATTTTGAGAGCCAGTGTGGCGTCGTGGTGAAGAGCCTGGGACTGGGACTCAGGCGATCCGGGTTCGAGTCCCTGCTCAGCCATGGAGCCCACTGGGTGACTTTGGGCCAGACACAGACTCTCAGCCCAACCTACCTCACAGCGTTGTTGTGGGGATAAGATGGAGGAGGAGAATGATGTAAGCTGCCTTGAGCCCTTTGTAGGAAAAAGGCAGGATATAAATAAAAAAATAGATAGATATAATAAATCCAGCAGAACATTTCAATGCAAAATTTAAAATAGAATTTAAAACAATGGGAAGAACACAGCTAGGCCCATTAAAAGAAACCCCCCTCCCTATCCCATCACATGCCTTGGCATGGGGGCAGCCTGAACCTTGTGCCCAAAGGATAACGGAGCGGTAGCAGGCAGGTCTTCCTGGGGAGCTTGTTCAAGAGGTGGACGCCACAACTGGAAGGACTCACTTCTGGTTGCCACCAGCTGAGCTTCCCACAGAGGTGGCACATGGAGGAAGGCGTCAGTTTTGTGGGTGTTGCATCCAGCAGACTGAGGCTGGGAGAGACTGGGAGGTTACCGCCAATGTTGCATTGTGATCTGAAGCTGTTTAAGGCTTTACAGGCTGAAGCTGCAGAGAGCAGCCGCTTCCTTCCCACTCTTTCAGCAGACTCAAAAGAAACCGCTAGCAGTGCAGTCTTTTAATTGAAGCCCGGTGTCAAACCGCCCGAGTCCTGGTGGCACGCGCTCTGAGGTGTGGGAGAGGCACCTGCTCCCTCCCCTCCTTCCTGCTGCAGAGCTTTTGGCTCCCATCCCAGGCTGCTTGCAGACTGGATGGTAGGAATGCTGGCAATGCCGGATGCATCAAAACTGGCTCGCTTGCCTCTCCTGTTGCCCGTTCCATTTCGGTTCTGAAAAGCCTCCCCCGCTCCCCAGACAGCGTGATTCTCAATAACCTCAGAGCTGCCACTCCGCCTCCTCCACAGAACCGGATGAGGCCATCTGAGCAGCCTGCAGTGGGCAAGAGACAGGCCCTTCTCTGCAAAAGCCAGCACCTCGAATTAAGTTTGGGAGCTTGTGGGCAGCCAAGACAAGCAGGCCGGAACTGCCGTTACATGCTTGGGCCTTCTGGGCCCAGTTGTTGGTCTGGCTGCCATGTTTGGGACAAACTGGAGCCCCGATCAGTCTTCCAGTGCTGCCCTGTGTAGACTAATCAGCATGCAGCATGTGTGCTTTATGTAGTGTCGAGATTACTGCCACATAGATTACAACAATCAGGACACCCCTGTCCAGAGAAGAGAGTAACTGACCAGCAGCTGGAGCTGGTGGGGCAGATTCCGCACCGCTAAAGCCACCTGCGTCAGAAGACAAGGAGAACTGCAAGGGGGCCCCAAGCTGTGACCCTGCTTCTTCAAGGGGAGTGTGGCCAGACAGCCCCCCGGAGGAGCCACCTGCTCACAACATCCTAGTCTCACCTGGATGGGGCGCCAGTTTTTTAGCCCTCAGGCAGAGCATTGTTGCAGCCAGGCACTGATTCAGCACATCTGTAGCCTTACCTGATGGGAATGAGGAGAAGTGGAGCGCTGTGTTCCCTGTGCGCCAATGGCAGCGCACTGCCCGCACTCGGGGCGGCCCCACTCAGTGGTCTCATGTGCTGCAGAACAGCACCGGAGACCACAGTCATCCTTGAGGAGCTCCATGCTGGGGAGTCTGTGGGGCTGGGCAATATTCCCTGCTGTTTGCTGCTGCTGTGTGCCGTCCACTTGTTTTCGACATAGGATGCCCTGGCCAACGAGACCCTTCCAAAGTATCCCACCCAGGACACCCCTGCATAATTGTTCAATATTCCCTAAGCATCACTTTCTAGAGCCAACCATCCAAGTTGTGTGGAGCTACTGAAACACAGCCCAGGAAGTGGTCCCCACTTCTGGCCCAGAAAAGCATCGGCACTCATGGGAGACGGGGTGATCTTCCTGCCAGTCGCATTTCTCTTCCTCCTCTCCAGATCCTGTCCGGGGCTCAAGCCCGGTGGTGGAATCTTTGCGCCAGGCCCTGACCCACCACCAGTTCTACCATGCTGAGACTCTGGAGCTGCAGCACTGCCCCGCCGCAGGCTTCAACTGCCTCGCCTCCCTCTCGGTGCCACTGGCCGGCGCGTTGCCCCTCTGCCCTCGCTTCGGCAGGCTCTTCAGCGTCCTGGTGCTGCCCGTCATGACCGGGGAGTCCCTGCTCGGCATGCACGCTGGCAGCGTGCTGGCCTGGCTCGAGAAGTTCCCTCTGCTGACCCGGCACAGTGACCTGGCCTCCGCTCTCGTCCGGGCCACCATTGCCACCTATGACTCCGTGAGGAGCCGGTTTCAGCCCTCGCCAGCCTGCTGCCTCTTCCGTTTCTCTCTGCATGACGTCCATAAGGTCATCAGGGGCCTGTTCCTGCTGCGGCCCCGGCCAGGCATTCACCTCAGCAGCCCCCTGGAAGACCACATCATCAAGGCGCCTTCCAGCCGGCGTACCTCTGGCCTGAGCAGGATGGCCGTGGGGACGGGCTACACCATGATCCTCAGCATCCGGCTGATCATACGCCTCTGGGTGCACGAGAGCCTGCGCGTCTTCTGTGACCCGCTGCGAAGTGAGCATCAGCGTGAGCTCTGTGCGCAGGTGGTGATGGAGATTGCGGCTGCCACCTTCTGCGCCAGGCAGCCCTTCCTGCGTGTGGTGTCCCTTGCTCTCCAGATGTCCCGCCTGCCCAGCCGAGGCCACACTGCCTTCCATCTCCCCAGCACCTCCAGCTCCTTTTTCCCGGGAACCACAGAGGAGGAGGAGGAGGAGGAGGAGGCGGCCGAGCCCACAGAAGAGGATCTGCTCACGACCCAGGTGGAGCCTGACTTCCTGTACAGCCACAATGTGGATCGTCTGGACCCCTGGGATCCCGTGGAGCAGGCCCCCGCCCTGTCTTTGGATCCCCCAGCTCCAGCGTCTGATGATGAGCCCACCCTGTGGGAGCTGGAGAATGAGCCTTCCTCAAAAGCGGATCCTGAGGTGGAGGCTGGGGTGGGGAAGAAGCGCGAAGGGGCCTTCCAGGCAACAGTCTCTGAGATGCTGCGGGTGTCTCATGACCCCCGGGCAAGCCCTCATCGCTCCTCCCTGGTGCGACTGAAGCGGCGCACTTCCTCCAAGAAAGACAGCTCTGGCCCGCTGCTGCCGTCCCACCTCCTGCTGCTGCCCGGTGAGGCCCCGCGAGATCTTGTCTTCAGCAGGGACTTGGGGCAGGGGGCCCACAGCCCTGGAGCCCACAACCCCTACCAGGAGAAGTCCTGGAGGGCCTTGGAGGGCCAGCTCGCTCCCTGGCTGCCCCCGGATTTCCTGAAGAGCTCCCAGGGCCTGAGGCACGTGGTCCGCTTGAGCCGGCTGTTCTGCAGCCCCGACAGGCACGGCGCGCTGGTCTCCTTTGCCCGGGGCACCGGGCGGCACACCCTGGTGGCTCTGGCTGCTCAGATCACCGGTGCCGTTCTCATGGAGCTGCCGGCGAAGGCTGACGAGGCGGAGGTCTTGGCCCTGCTGCGCCTGGCGAGCTGGCAAGCGGGGGTTGCAGGGAGGCGGGTGCTGCTGCTGGTGCAGCCTGGGGCGAGCTTGGCCAGCCTGCACCTGGTCTTCGCGCTGATGGCGGAGGGCACCTGCCCCGGCCTCTACAGCCCCGAGGATTCCATGTCCGTCATTCAAGCCCTGCTGCAGGAGAACCAGAGCATCAAGCGCACCATGCGGGATGACCTCATTCTGCAGAGGTACGGCCAGAGGGGTGGGTGAGGAGCCCCCTGGCGCCCAGCCAGGGGGCAGCCTCTCAACCGCTGTTTTGGGCTTTGCGTGCAGGTTCTTCCAGTTTGTGCGTTCCAACTTGCACGTGTTGCTTCTGCTGGGGGGGCCGCACTCCTTGGCACTGCCCCCCCTCCTGGCCACAGCCCTCGCCCAGGTACTCTCCAGCCTGGAGATCTACCAGCCCTGGAGCTACAGGACCCTGTTGGAGGTGACCTCAAAGCACCTGAAGCACCATTTCAGGCATTCGAGACTGACGCGAGGTAGGTCCTCCTGCCAGCCTGAAGGACCAAGGGGGGGAGGCCTCTCTCTCCCCCAGCAGCATCCCTCTGTCTCCAGCTTCTCGTGCTTCCTGCCCAGCTTTGCCCTCTGAAGGTGTGGGGCTGCGGTCCTCTTTGGGAACCAGTTGGGCGCTGGGGCACTCCCGCTGCTGTGCCCCTTGCTTGTGCTCTCTGCCCCGCCTGGGCACCTGCTGCTGGGCGCCTCTGGGACAGTCCTTGCGGCTGCCCTGGCTGCTTCCAAGGACTTGCGAGGCGCCGCACAGATGGCCCACCTTCGCAGTCCCTGATTCGGCACATCCATCCATTGCCCAGTAGAGCCGGCGTCGCTGCATACCCACAAGGACTTGATCCTCTGCATCGCCAGAGCAGCCGCCTGGATCCATATCTCTGCCGCTCTCTATGCAACGTTCCTTGCTGCCCACCTGCCCCTCATCAGCCCCAAGACTCTTCTGGACTTGCTGGACACCTTCGTGGGGCTGCTGAGTTGCCTTCATGAGAGGAACAGCAAGCAGACCGATCGGTAGGTGTGCCCAGTCCCCGGCACTCGGCAGCGCAGCACGCCTGGCTCAGCCAGCCCACGGCGCACAGCCCCGGCCTCACCCGCGGGCCAACTGCAGCTCTGCAGTAAGAGAAGGGCAGAGCGGGAAGGGGCCGTGGAGGCCATCGAGTCCAGCCCCTGCTGGCGCAGGCGCCACGTCGCAGCAGTCCCTTAGCGTTTGCTGGGCACACGGACACCTGGACACCGTTTCCTGCAAACTGTGCTAACAGCCAGCTGCTTGGGGTGAAGGTCACGCAGCAATGCGCGCCATCGCCAGAGGAAGCTGTGGCTGCTCAGATCACAGCACAGCGTCTGCCGGGCTGAAACTCTTACTGTCAAATTCAGAAGCAGAGTGGGGGAATTGCAGCCCGCTTGTCTCTTCAGCCTGCCTTTATCTGTCCTGAGTTTCATTGGATGGCTGTGGGCTCCAATATTCTCCCACCTTGCATCCTCTCATGCCCCTCTGTCCCACACCTCTTGGCTCACCCTTTCTCCATGCCAAAAATACCCCCATGAGGCAACACTTGGCGTGAGCAGTGCCCCCGGTCGCCCTCTGTCTTCCTTCCGGTGCTGCCAATTGCAAGACGGGGGGGGGGGGGGCATGCCTTTCTCTTCCTCCAGTGGCTGGCTGGGCAGTGGCCGAGCTCACAGGAGCTGCCGTCCTGCCCACAGGATGAAGCTGGCGTTGCACAACATGAGCGAGGTGAGCAAGAAGCAGCAGGAGCACAGCCGGGACGTGCGCTTCCTGCAGCAGAAGCTGGTCAGGATTAAGGAGGTGAGCTCCATCCAGCAAGTCTTGGGCCGCTGCGGGGTTCTTGCCCTACTCCTGGGCCGGGTTCAGACATCACAGCCCGAAGTGCATGGGTCTCCCTACTCTTGGAAGCTAAGCAGGGTTAGGTTGGGCCTGGTTGAAATCCGGATGGGGGGCTTGAAATGCTGTGAACCACCCAGAGAGCTTTGGCTGTGGCGATACAGAAATGTCACATGCTGCTGCTGCTGCTGCTGCGGCTCTGTGGGGGAAAGTGCTGCGGCCTTGGCTGTCACGCTGCCTAATCCTGCCTGGGACTTAAGCCGTGATGTGTTTGGTCTGCATGGAACTGTGCAGAGAAGCAGCGCTCCGTCCTGTGGTTTCCATGCTTCACCATGGCTTGTTTCATCATAGAAACATCGAAACAGAGCGAGTCAGAAGGGACCTCCCGGGCCATCTAGTCTGACCCGCGGCTCCAACCGGCTGTGCTCATGATGTGCCCACCATGTGCATGTTGAGCCTATCCTTGAACACCTGCACCTGCACCGATGGGGCCTCAACCACCTCCCGTGGCAGCCCACTCCACACCCTCGGGGTCCTGACTGTCAGGAAGTGCTTCCTGGCATCCAGATGGAAGCCTGGTTCCTTTGCTTGGCTCCGTGGGAGCGCATCCTGCCCTCCTCTGCAGGGGAGAACAGGTCTCTACCCACCTCCGTGTGACACCCCTCACATACCTGCATGTCGCCAACAGATCCCCTCTGAGTCTCCTCTTCTCCAGGCTGAAGAGGCCCAGTTCCCTCAGTCTCGCCTCATACGGCATCCCCTGCAAACTGGCCACCAACCTTGTGGCCCTACGCTGCACTGGATCCAACCTGGCTATATCCTTCCTGTAACGAGGGGCCCAAAACTGAGCACAATACTCCAGTTGCGGGGGCACCAGAGTCATATAGAGTGGCAGTAACACCTCTCTCGATCTGGAAGCCACACTTCTGCCTATGCAACCAAAGGTGGCGTTCGCCCTCTTGGCCACCGCCTCACATGGCTGGTTCCTGACTCATCATAGGAACCAAAGCACTACATTTTCATCCATTTCGTTTCCACGTTTCTGCTGCAGAGCCCAGAGGAAGGAGCAGCTGCTGCAGGCAGAGATGCTCTGTGGGCCTTGGCTGCTGTCCGCCTCTGCACGGCAGTTGCTGAGGCTGCTGCAGGCTCCCTCCAGGTGGCCGCACTGCCCGCCCACTCACCGCATCTTTGGAGTGTCCTGGAAGGGGGCTGGTGCCCCTCCCTCAGCAGCCGGCCTTGGAGGCAGCCATGCTGGGCACGCTTACCTGATGGCTGCTGGTTTTGCAAATGGGGGGCCATGACAGGGCAGGTGCCCCAAAAGCAGGCATCCCCTGCTCGGCCCCTGGCCCCTAGCCCCTCCCCTGCTCCCATCCTGCCCCTGCCATTCCTCAGGGCTGTCAACAAGACCACCTTCTGTTTTTACATATTCCATTTTATTCTGTGCCACTGCTATGCTTCTGTACTGAATTATAGCAATGGGAATTGCTAATATGATAGTGGGTCTTTTAAAACTAATTAATTAGTGTGTGTGTGTGTGTGTGTGTGTACCTTTTTAACTTTTTTTTAGTGCTCAGAGAGCCTCAGTGAAAGGGCAGCATAAATATAAATTTTAAAAAATTATATTTAATTTTATTTTTTGCTGTGCATTTTATTTCATCTTCATCCTCAAGTTCAAAATGTTGTGCTTTGATTTTTCCTTTTATGATTTGACACAGTTTTTTGTTTTTGTTTTACTTTAAATTCCAGTGGGGGTTGCTGATGAGGACTGGACCTTTGGTGATGCGGGAGAGTTGTTGGCCCCTTCCCCACATTTCCTCCGCCCTCCACCAACTCCGCTCCATGCAGCAGGAGGCAGCTTCCCTCCAGTGCAGAACTGCGGAGCTGGAGGATGCTTTTTCTCAGGCCTGTGGCTGGAAGCAAAGATTACAAGCACTCCTCTTCACGAGAGCCCAGCCCCATCAGCCCTGCTCTCTCACAGACACACGGCTGCCTGGTGTCTCAAGCGCGATTGACCCTGTGGCTCCCTCCTCCTCTGTCCTCCTTTGCAGCAAGTGGCGCAGAGCCAGCGCGAGGTGGAGCGGGAGCGGGAGGTGCTGCGGCAGCAGGAGGCCGAGTGCCAGCTGTTCGAGGCGCGCATCGATGCCCTCACCAAGGAGAGGGATGAGCTGGAAAAGGGGAAGGAGCTGGCCATGAAGAAGGTAGCGGCTGCAGGCCGGGGAGCTGGAGAGGTCCTGGCAGCCTGCTCCGGCCGGGCAACTGGCGGCGGCCGAGGTTCCACCCGAGGTGGCAACGGCCTGGCTGCGGCCTGGGGAATGCGGCCCCATCCGCCCACCAGTGATCTGCGGGGTGGGGGGGACTCACCTGGCACTGCCCCTCTCCTCAGGTGAGCAACGATTACAAGGCCGCGCTAGCGACGTTGCGCGTGCAGGACATCGAGGAACTGCGCAGCTACCGCCAGCCGCCCCTCGCCGTGCTCCGGGTGACCGACGCGCTCTGCATGATGTTCCATCAGGGGCCGGGCTGGGAGCAGGCAAAGCTGCTCCTCAACAGGGAGGACTTCTTCCAGGTGAGCCCAGCTCCTCTGCGGCCCAGCGGGCCCCTTCCACGTCCAGTTCGCACTCTGCCCCTTCCCTCCTTCCTGGCAGCAACTTGGTCCCGGGGCTGAAGGAAAAGAGGCCCTCCCACGTGGCGCAGCCACACACGAACCCCTCCGAAGGTTCCTGGGGGCTCAGCAGAGGCGGGAGCAGAAGCAGCCTGCTGCATTCTGGGAAAGTGCCTCGCGAAGGCGCCACTGCCAGCCGCAGAGCGCGCAGTTCGTGCACAGTAAACAGCAAAGCAGCACCGCTCGAAGCAGGCGGGCAGCAGCGGGAGCCTTGGGAAAGCACCATCGGCATGCAAAACCCCTTCGGCACAACGTACGCAGTTAACATGAATTCCTCAAGAACAAATCCCGCCAGGCGAATCTGATCTCATGCTTTGATTGTGCACCCTCCCCAATGGACGGTGGGTGCTGTGGACATCACCTGCCTTGTCCTCAGCAAGGCCTTTGACCAAGTGCCCCACGGCATCCTGATTAGCAAACCAGCTAGTGAGCTCCACGGAACAGCTGCCGGGGGATCCACAGTTGCTGGGTGGCTGCAGAATCACCCTCACAGAGCGCTCATCAAAGGCACCTTCTCAAAGTGGGGAGAGAAACTGGTGGGTACCGCAGGGTCCAGTCCTGGCCCCAGCGCTCTCCAGCGCTTTTGCTCATGACTTGGGTGAAGGAGTGCAGGGACCAAGGCTCAGATTTGCAGATGACACACAACCGGGTGGCGTAGCTAATACCCTGGAAGACAGAAGATTGAGCATGATCTTGATGGGTTGGAGTGTGCAGGTGAAAACCACAGAATGAAATTCAGTGGGGAGAAATGCCAAGTTCTGTACCAAGGAAAAAGGCAAATGCACCATTACAGGATGGAGGATGCGTCGCCCAATGCTGCAAACGAGAAGGATCTTGAAACAGTCGTAAATCACAAGCTGAGTACAAGTCGACAGTGTGATGCAGCTGCTAAAGGGGCAGTGAGTTCTGTCCCTTCTGATCTTGGCAATCAGTCTCATACTCGGGGGGTGGCGGGGGGGCAGAAGCATGCTGAACAGAGTTCCTTTCCACGGGATCAGGAAGGTTCGTATTATCCAGGGATCCAGAACCGGTTGGTGGCTGGATTGTGCTGCTGCTGCCTGGGGCTGCATTAACAGAAGCATCTCTTCCAAAGCGTGTGATGTGCTAGGTCAACTATAGTCCTCTCTAGTCAGGCCACACCTGGAGTCCCGTGTCCACTTCTGGGCAGCTAAGTTTTTAAAAGATGCAGAAGAACTAGACAGGATACAGAGGAGGGCAGCAGGGATGGAGACAAGGCCCTGTGAAGGAAGATGGAGGGCCAGGCGTGTTCAGCCTCAGGGAGGCGGCACGGAGGGGTGGTATCTTGGAGCAGGAGCACGAGCCGAGCACCGCAAGAGCACCAGGGCACTGGAGTCCAGTGTTGCTCGGGCAGCTTCTGGAGGGAGAGCGCTTTGGAGACGGCGCTTCCTGCAGGGCTCCCGGAGGGTGCTGGCAAGGGCCTGGCAGCTGGGGCCAGTCTGGGACCCGTCCTGCAGCGACCAGCGCTGTTCTGGCGTTCGGCCAGCACGAGGAGCCCCAGAGCTGCCCAGGTCCTGGCACTTGGAGACGGGCAGCCGCAGCGCACGCGCAAGAAGCAGGATTCCCGCCGTCGGGCGGAGCTTCCTGGGGAGCCAGCGGAGTGAGTGGCCCCGCTCACTGCGCCCTCTGCTGGTCTCCCACTCCAGGAGCTGATCTTCTACCCCAAGGACCGCCTCTCCCCGGAGCTGTTCAGGGCCCTGGGCCAGGTCGTGTGTGACCAGGGCTTCTCTGCGGCCTCCGTGAAGAAAGCCAGCCAAGCCGCTGCAGCGCTCTGCCAGTGGGTCTCGGCCGTCTACTGGTACCACTGGGCGCTGCAGGACTGGCAGCCAGCCATGCTGCAGGTGCAGCAGTGTGATGACCAGATCCACTCGGAGAAACTGAACCTGGGCAACCGGCGCCTGCACGCCGAGTACCTGAGGAACGCCACCCAGGCCCGGATCCGGGAGCTGACGCTGAAGCAGGAGCGCCAGGAGAAGCTGCTGCGCCAGCTCACGCAGTCCCTACAGGCCAAGGAGGAAGCCGCCACGGTGGAGAGCTCTGTGGCGGAGCATTTGGCGACCTGGACGGAGCTCGCCAAGGTACTGGCCAGGAGGGGCCCCGCACCGGGCCCCCTGCTGTGAGCCAGGCTCGGCACCCTGCAGCGTTTCCCTCCTTCCACAGGACCTGGAGCACCGGCACCGCACGGCGCATGGCGACGCGCTGCTCTGCGCGGCTGTCCTCACATACCTGGGCCCCTTCCCGCCCGCCCGGCGGGGGGAGCTGCTGGAGAAGTGGCAGGCCGTGTGTGACGGGGCCCGCGTCTCCCTGGGCCCAGATGACGTCGGCCAGCTGCTGCAGAACAGCTGCCCCTGGCCCAGCTCCGCCTCCACCGGCCCCCCGCTGCTGCTCTTCCAGAAGCCCCTGAACCTGGTCTCCTTGCTCAGCTCGGCTCAAGAGCAGCGCCTCTGGGACCGTGTCCACAAGCCCAGGGATCCCGAGAGCCGGCTGGCTGCCATGATCCTGCGCTCCAGGACTCATGCAGAGGCCCACCGCTGGCCTCTCTTGGTGGACCCAGACAGGCAGGCACTCACCTGGCTGCTCATGGCTCCAGCCTTAGAAGACGGTAAGTGAGGAGAGGAAGCGGCTGCGGGGCCTGCACGGGCTCTGCCTCGGGGCAGCCTCCTAGTAGTCGTGCTTTGCAGAGGAATCGCAAGCCTACATCCTCTCGGACCTGGTACCAGATATGGTGGAGCAGGGCGTCTGTGATGAGATACCGGAAGACATGCTTGAGATCCTGTCGCTCGCAGCCCCTGACCTGGAGCAGAAACTCAGGCGTGCAGCCAGTGCTGGTAAGCGGGGACTGGCGCCCGACACTCTGCAAGGCCTGGCAGGAGGGGAGCTGGGCCGGGGGAGGAGAGCCCGGCTGCAGCAGGCAGGTCCGCGGCTACGGCACAGCTCAGCCTCTGCCCGCTCGCAGGCTCCCCCGTGCTCTTGATGGACTTCGAAAAGAACGTCCCCTGGTGCCCAGCGCTCGAGCAGCTGATGCAGAAGGAGACCTTCCGGGGAGCAGAGGGTACCATCCTGCTCTGCAAGTCCGAGGAGGAGGAGGCAGCGGGAGAGGAGAGCAAAGAGGAGGAGGTGCTGGTGTCCCCCTCCTTCCAGCTCTACCTGTGCACGGAATTGCCTCTTGAGGCGTTTGCTGCAGGTAAGGGGCAGAGGCCCGTGCCACTTGTTCCAAGGCCCTGGCTCCAACGCGGTGCCCCCGGGTTCGGCTGGCTCTGGGGAGGTGGGAGCAGCCATCAGGTCTGCCTGTCCCTGGCCTCAGCCATTGTGCCTGGTGTGGCGTGGCCTGGAGGGTGGGAGCTCCCTAGGAGGAGCAGAACCGTGGAGCCCCCTGGCAGGGCTGGAGGAGAGAGAGACGAGCTGCTGGCCGTCCCTGCGGCTCTCGTGCACATCAGCTACCTGGAACAGTGACTGGGGGGGGGGGGCGGTCATGGGCTCTTCCCATCACAGGCACTTGAAATGCAGCTCAACAGCCATCTGCTAGAAGAGCAGAGCTGGGGGGAGCTGCAGGGCCAGCAAGCCCACCCCCTGGAGCCCAGTTAAGGTGGCCCGGGCTTGTAGCTGGCCAGCTGCCTCTTCGGCACTCCAGTGTGGGAGAGCCCAGCACCTCTCTGGGGTGGGGGTTCCATTGCCAGACTGCTCTGACAGTCAGGTGATCTTCCTGAAAGCCAGCCAGAGCCTGGCTTCCTGCCCTGGAGCCTGTCCTTCTGTGCCCTGCCCTCTGGGGTGACCGAGAAGAGGTCGTGCCCTCTCCAGAGTGGCAGCCTTTCCTTTCACCAAGATGACTGCCCCTTCCTATGATCCTGTCGGAGGGCTGCAAGCACTCTGTGTCCAGAGGCTTTCCCACGAGGATGGCATTTGGGAGTCCAGAAAGGAGGTGTGGACGCAGCCCCATCCTCTAGGAACGGGCGCAGCTGGTGTTCCGGCAGTCCTGCTCGGCCTCGAGATGGGTGTCCCAGAGTGGCCCTGGCTCCAATTGGAGAGCGCCTCCTTTTCGTATCACGGAGCTGGGGATCAGGATCTGGCAGCACAAGCGAAGAGGACAGTCTGAGCTTGGCCGGCCTAGAGTTACTGCCAGTTCCTGAAAGGCTGTGCTGGTTTGGAGCCTTACGGTCATTTCGTGAAACGAATTATGCCAAGCCAGTCGGCTGAAGCCCTTCAGCGGCTGCTTCCCTGCCCCGCTGACCGGCTTGGAGATGCTCTGGGATTCCACGGTGTCCCGCTGTCCTCAGGACAGCCCATAGAAATCGTCAAGTGGGCAGCAACATACCTGGTGCGTCCAATAAACCAAACGTCATCTTTTCTGGTGTCTCAGCCTGGAGAAGGGGAGATTCAGTGTCACATGGAGGTGGGTAGAGACCTGTTCTCCCTTGCAGAGGAGAGGAGGGCAGGACACGCTCCCACAGAGCAACGCTCAGGGAAGCAAGTTCCAAGGTGGATGCCACAGAGTTCTTCCTGATGGTTAGGGCCCCTAGGACCTGGGATAGGCTTCCATGGTAGGTGGCTGAAGCCCCAAGGGTGTTCACGGATAGGCTGGACATGCACATGGCAGGTTTGTCATGAGTGGAGCTGGCTGGAGCCGGGGTCAGACTAGATGGCCCGGAGGTTCCTTCTGACTCGCTCTGTTTCTATCTGCAAATAAGTTAATTTTATTCTAAAATACTGTATTTTTATTAAATTTTTATACATTCCTAATTTGATTTGCTAGCAGTTCTATAACTATACAAAAAATTAAAAGCTGGTATAATAGCATTAGATATTTTTAAGATTTTGATTGTGCAGAATGGACAACAATAAAAGTGTTAATAGAATTAATAGGATTTGCTCCACGATTTAGAAATATAATAAATCTCATATTCAAGCAACTGTGCGATGGTAACAGCAAATGAGGGTGTAGAACTAAATATCCTTAGGCCGAGGCACTAGGCAGGGTTGCCCTTGTCGTCCGATTTCTGTTTGGGAAAGGCAGGGCTCCTAGCGTGGGGGAGCTCCGACTTGCCGCTTGCTGCTCAGGCCAGCTCAGTGGCCCGGGGCACCTTCCACCGGCTCCGGCCGATTCCCCCGCCGTGTTCCTACTTGAACGAACGGCGCCGAGCGGGTCATCCACGCGCCGGGAACCTCTGCAGTGCACTCCGTGGAGGGCTGCCTTGGAAAATGGCCCGTGCACTGTCACACACTCAAGACGGGGCCGTGGCTCCCCTCTGCGAGCGACTCGTGCCAGCAGGGGGTCCGCGCCAGTGCCCCACTCCGTGCCCCTCTCGCCTGCTTTGCAGAGGTCGGCCACACACTTCTGAAGAGCCTGAACGTGATTGACCTCAGCCTCAGCCAAGGGGCCCTGGAGGACCTGCTGCTGGTTGAGGTGGTGCGTGTCGAGCGCCGGGAGGTCCTGAAGAACCGGCAGGCTCTGCACCTGGGAGTCCTGCAGCTGGAGGGCAAACTGGAAGCCACGGAGGTAAGGCTTCCCCCTCAGCAGCACGCCCCCCGCCCCGCCCCCGCCCCGCCCCGCAGCAGCAGCCTGCCTCTCGCCCTTGCCCTGGCCTGCAGGAGGAGCTGGTGGACCTGATCTCCCAGCCGCAGCGGTCCCTGCTGGAGGAGGAGAACTTCATGCCCATGATGAGGCTGCTGCAGACGCAGATCCGAGCCCTGCGGGCCACCCACCAGCACATGCTCTCCCAGCACCAGGACCAGGCGGCGCTGTGCGACAAGTACCGGCAGGTGGCCCGCCTGGGCGCGGCGCTGCACCGGGCGCTGCAGCAGGTGGCCCGCCTCCACCCGCTGTACCACTTCCCCACCGAGGCGTGTGTCCACCGGGTGCGGCAGGCCCTGCTCTCCGCCAAGCGCCAGGAAAGCAGCAAGCAGGAGGCGCTGGAGACCCGCCTCCTGGAGCTGGGCCGGGCCGTGCTGCAGCAGCTGGTCGCCCAGGCGCTGCCCTGCTTGCGGGAGCTGGACCGCCTGCTCTACGTCTTCCTCGCGGCCCTGGCCACGCTGCGGGTGGGGGGCGCCGTCAGCCCGCCGGAGTGGCTGGCCTTCTGCCGGGGCTTGCAGGAGCCCGCAGCCCAGGCCCTCCTGCCGCCGGAGGCCGGGGCGCCCCGGCCCAGCTGGGTGCCGGAGGAGGCCTGGCGGGAGTGTGTCCTGCTGGAGGGCCTTCCTGGCTTCCAGGGGCTGCCGGCCTCACTGGCCTCGCGGGCCGTGCAATGGCAGGAGTACTTCCGCCTGCCCTCCACCGTGGTGGGGCTGGCCTTGTGCCCCAGCCACAGCCACCTCGGCCTGTTCCAGCGTGCCATTCTCTGGCGCATCATGCGCCCCGGCGCCATGAGCAGCGTGATGGCGGACCTGACCACCTGCTTGCTGGGCTGGTCCCTCACGGAAGAGATGACGGCCTCCAACCCCAATGCCTACAGCCGCGCCAACAGGCCGGTCGTCTTCCTCACACCCGCCGCCGGGGCTCCGGGTTCCTTCACGCATCCACTTCTCTGGATCCAGCAGATGGCTGCCCAGCGCGGACGGGCCGTGAGTCAGGCACGGGTGGGGGGCCGTCCCCAAGCAGCTGGGTCACGCACCTCCCCCAGAGGCTGAGAGCAGCTGTCCCACACCCGCAGGGTAGGGTGGTGGTCGTCTCCTTCGGCACCCAGGACGCGGCCAGGCGCGTGTGGAGGACGCTGCCACTCTGCGCCAAGAAGGGCAAGTGGCTGGTCCTGGACAACTGCCACTTGCAGAGGAGCTGGGACCCCGACGTGCTTGCGCAGCTGCAGCTGCTGCTCGGCGCCCCAGCAGGTGAGGCCGCCGTGGAGCCCCAAGCTCTCCGACACACCGTTGCCGAGAGGCCGGGGGAGCCCCCAGCCTGCCCCGCGTGCAGAAAGCCCCCTGTCCTCCTGCACAGACGAAGCGGAGCGGGCAGCCCTGGAGATCCACCCCAAGTTTCGCCTCTGGCTCGTCACAGCAGCGGACGCCCCCGAGTCCGTGCCAGGTACAGTCCCAGCCCCACAGGAGGCCTCGACCTCCCTGCATCGCCCCGGCAGGGTGGCCCCCCCCCTTGAGCACGTGGCCTGACCCTGCTCCCCAGGACTCCTCTAGGACCTGGCTGCCCCCCCGCCCGCCTCCAGGGCCCCCGCTGACATGTGCGTGTCTCTGCCCACAGGGCTGGTGCGCCGCAACGCCACGACCCTTTTCTGCGAGATGCCGCTGGAACTGAAGGGTATCCTCGCCCACACCCACCAGCAGCTGCAGGGGCAGGCCGTGAACCTGGACACGGAGCAGGGGCTGCCCCTGCTGGCCTTGTACGGGGCCCTGCTGTACCGACAGGCCTGCGCCCCGGGGACCCAAGCTGCCCCGTACCTCTGGTGAGTGCAGTCGGCTGTGCCCGGTGCCGTGGGAGAGCTGCCCTTCCTGCTCCAGGTCTGGCTCCGGCTCCTGCTTGGCTCACTGGCGGTAGGGAATTCAAGCGCCAACCAGGAGGGCTGTTAGCCACTAACTAGCCAGGGCAGGAAGGCTTCTGTGTGGCCCTGCTGTGCCAAACAGAACCCTTTCCTCTCTCGAGCCCGCACAGTTGGGCTGCCTGGTGCTGTGCGAAAGGGCGGCCAAGGGGCCGGCTGGCTCACGGAATCGGAGTCAGAGACTGGGCCCTGGATCAGAGATGACAAAGCGGAGCCCACCCTGCTTTGGACATTTCGTGGGAAGGCAAGGTTCCCTGGAGAAGACCCTGTGCTGGGGAAAGTCACAGCCCGAAGACTGAGGGATGACCAACGGGATGGAGGGCCTCCGCAAGGGAAGCCACTGCCGTCATGAAGAGCAGCTCAGCGTGCAAGGGGTGGGACATTGTGCGGGGCCCACTGCAAGTCGGCGGCATGGCTCTGATGGAAGTGTCTGAGGCAAGCAGCAGCCGTGCTCTGCCATTCAAGGAGTGGGGCTGCAGAGCTGTGGTTTTGAGTCCCGTCTTCCCAGACACGTGTTGCACGAGGCACCAAAGCCAGCCGACTTTGGGCGGAAGGTGGACGTTCCTGTCTGTCTCGGGGGGAGGGCAAGGCAGCTCTGGAGGAGCACCTGGGGGGGGGGGTTCCCCAGTGGAGTGGAGGGCTGTAGGCAAAAGAAGCGCCGCCGGGAGACCTGCAGGGTCACACCCTGCGCCCACTCTACTCTCGCCGGCCGTGGGATCTCCCTCCCATGACCCGGCTGGGCAGTGCCGCAAGGGGCTCATCACCTGAGCAGCAGGCCGCTGCGGAGGCTGGACTGAGGCGACAGGTGGGCCCAGCACCCCTCCATGCAGAGGGTTCCAGGCCCATTCTGGCCGGATCCAAGATACTGGAAGAGTCCCAGCAGACAAGATCCGTGCCAGACAGGCTGCGTGGATCCTGATCCCGTGTTGCAGCACGAGGCCTCTGTGCTCGCCGAAGGCTATGCTCGCATGGTCAGCCCGTAGTCGAGAGCGCCAACAAGGGTGGCGGCCCAGGCGGAGTTGGCGTCGCGCGGCGTGCGATGGAGCCCCGGCATGAGACCGCTTGGCTTCCTCCTGGAGGTCCCACTCCCGCCTTTCATGCCAGAGGTCCCCAGAGGCCCCCCCAGTACCCTGAGCGCTCCAGGGAGGTGCTGCCAGCAGCCTGAAGTGGCCTCACAGGGCCTTTTTGGCAAGCACCTGCCTCTGGGTGCCCGTTGCTGAGGAAGGGGAATGGCCGGGTCCCTCTCTTGCCCGAGGTCCCCAGGTGCGAGCAGCCGGACTCTGTGAGGGGTGGATGATGGGCTCGGCAGGCCCACCTCCCCCAGACCCCTCTGGCTGCCTCCCTCACTCATTTTCCAGTAGCTTGGCACCAGCGCGGCATCCCGGCGCTGCTGCCCCCGCCATGGTAGGACAGGCCGGTGAGCTGGCGGAGACCCAGCCCTCCTGAGGAGCCTCCCGCCTCCTGCAAGGGGCTCGGCACCCTCAAAGAGGCGTGTGCCCAGTGGCCACCGGAGCCACTGCCTTCCCCTGGATTGCCGGGTGCCCTGAGTCACCCTGCGGAGCCACCCCGCTAGGCATCCAGGTGCAGGGCCGGCGGCACCCATGGGCAACAGTTCTCCCAATCTGGGCAGCTCTCTAGACCCATTTGGAGAGGCCATGGACTGAACCCGGGACCCACAGTGCATGTGCAGCCAGTGAACCAGCACTCTGCTGCTCACGCGACAGACACGGGCGTCTGGAAGCGGTGGAGCGGGCGTTCTGGGGCTCTCTAGGCCAGCGGGCACAGCGTCAGCTGCCCCGGAGTGGCCAGCCCAGGAATGGCGGTGAAGCACCGCCCCGTAGGTATTAGGCTTCCAACCGCCTACTCCAGGCGCGACGAAGCGGCTTGAGCTGGGAGAGGCTGGGCTCCCACTGAATGCAAGCGGCGGGCTGAGGGCAACATGAGCAGGCCCCATGCTGCGCAGGAAGCATGGCGCCTGCCACTGCGGTGGGCAGAGAAAAGGGCCAGCGCGCTGCCGCCTCCTGCACCTCTCCTGCCAGAAGGGTCCCGCAGCAAGTTCCCTTTTGTCCTGCCCGGCCAGGAGCCACGAGGACTTGCTAGCAGGGCTGAAGATGCAAGAGAAACTGAGCCGGCTGCCGGACACGCCTGAGGGAGCCCTGCAGGAGCTGGCAGGTGGGAAAGGGGGCAGAGGCAGCTGTGGCAGGCGGCCCGTGCGTGTGCCCCCGCTCCAGAGCGTGCAAAGAGCTGCCACCCGCCTCTCCACCCCCCGCAGGGACCATCCTCTTTGGGGGCCACGTCCTGGATGAGGGAGATGCCCAGGCCGTGCAGAGCTTGTGTCGGCAGTGCCTGGGCCCGGCGTCACACCTGCGGCAGGAAACGGGCCTCCAGAGCCTCCTGGCCCTGGTGGCCAGTGGCCCCAGACCTGGTGAGCAGCGGCGGAGGCCGGGGGGAGGGGGGGTGTGCCGCAGGGCATGGCCTGACCCTCTCTCCCCGTCCCAGGGCTCTCGGAAGAAGAGGCGGCGGCGGAAGTCCTGGCCCGCATCGCGCAGCTGCCCAGCCCCACGGAGCTGACCTGGGTGGGCCTGAGTGCGGAGCTGCAGCAGGAGGCGCTGGCCCGCCGCAGCCGGGCCCTGCTTGGCGCCCTGCACAGGTCCCAGGGCCTCTGGCAGCCGCGGGGCTCCTGGGCCGCCCAGCAGCAGGATGCTCTGGAGCGGCTGGTGCAGGAGGGGCTGGGCCTGGTGCAGGCGCTGCAGGGGCAGCTGGAGCAGAGTGGCTGGGAGGCAGGAGGCCGGGCCCCCCTGCCCCAGGGGCAGCCCCGGCCCAGGCCCCGGCCCCTGCAGCGCTTCCTACTGGAGGAGGGCGGCCGCTTCCTGGCCATCCTGAAGCAGCTGGCTAGCGACCTGCGGTGTGCGCACAGCCGCCTGCAGGGAGGCTTTTGCCCCACGCGCCGCTGCGGCACCGTTCTGCAGGACCTGCGGCGGGGCCACCTGCCGCGCCCCTGGCTGCCCCACACCCCCACCGGCCCTCAGAGCCTGCCGGCCTGGCTGGAGAGCCTGCGGCAGCGCTGCCAGCTCCTCTGCCTGTACCTGGGCTCCGTTGGGGGGCCACCGGTGGTCTCCTACCGCCTGGCGGCCTTCCACCACCCGCAGCGCCTCTTCCTGGCCCTGCTGCAAGAGAAGGCCCGGGCGGAGAAGCAGGCGCTGGACAGCTACCAGCTGGAGCAGCAGGTAGGAGCAGAGCAGCCTCGGGGGCACGGGTGTCTCCCACGCCGGCCCCTGACGCCCCACCTGTCATTTGGCTCTCCAGGTGCTGCCTGGGGTGCTGCCCCCCACCAGCGCCCCCGACCAGGGCATCTACCTGAGTGGCCTGGAGCTGCGCCACGCCACGTGGAATGCTCATGGTGGCTACCTTCAGGAGACCCTCTCGGCCCAGCCTTGCAAGCTGCCCACGGTCTGGATCCAAGCCAGCCGCCGGCCCTGGCCGCCAGGCCCTGGCCTGCCCCGCTACGAGTGCCCCGTGTACGTGGGGGCTCCCGATGAGCACGTGTCCCTCAGCAGCAACCGCGTCCTCCTGCGCCTGGCCCTCCCTTCCAAGATGTCCCTCGAGCTGTGTGCCCAGCAGCGGGTGCACGCTGTCAGCCTCCTGTGCTGAAAGGCAACCTCAGGGAGAACTGGGCTTACGCCTGTGCCCACCCCCCGAGGGGCCCGCCGGCGTGCGCAGCCGAGGCAGTCTGCCTGCCCCCCAAGCAGGAGGGGCTCATGCACAGGGCAGACACAGCCAGAGGCCAGTACGGAAATAAAGCCATGTATTGTGACTGTACAAAAGCACCCCCCGGTGTGCCACTCGTCTTCCAGCCGCTCGGGGCCCTGCCCGTCCAGCGATAAATAAGGTGCTCGGCAGGCGCCGCCCGGCCCGCAGGCGCCTCAGCCAGCCGGCCCCATCATTTCAGGTCCACATCGAAGTCCAGCACCAGCAGTTTGGTCTCCTCAGTCCCATTGCGGCTGCCCACCGCACACACCAGCTTCGTGCTGGAGGCCCGGATGCGCCAGACCACCCCCCCGCTGCCCCCGCTTTCCAGAGCCACCAAGTTGCGCACAAATTCTCCCGTCTTCAGGTCCCACAGCTTGACGGTGCCATCGTCCGAGCTGGTCACCACGAACTTGGAGCTGAACTGGAGGCAGGTGACGGCGCTCTGGTGCTTGCTGGGCCCTGCAGCAGAGGGGGAAGGGCAGGCGTCAGCCCCTCCCATCAGCCCCAGCGCGCTCGTGCAAGGGCTGGCTCCCACAGCGCTGCCCGAGGATGTGTGCTGGCTGGGGGGACAAGGCAGGGCCTGAATCCCGTTCAGCCACCGCCCGGCACGGGCTCATCGAAGAGCAGCCGGAGCAACAGCCACCCTGGCTCCGTCCCGTAATGGCAGCACTGGTGGCAGCCCCGAGCGCCCGCCTCTCGCACGCTGTGCATCGGCGAGCGGGTCGGGCTCCAAGACCTCCCCTTTGGGAAGCCCAGCCACAGCTCGCCCACTCGCTCCGGGCTGGCACGCTCAGCCTCCCCACATCTCTGGGTGCTCGCCAAGCCCCTTGTGCGCTTTGGCTGCCTCGCCCTGTCCTGGCCCCGCCTGCTCCCCCAGGGCTGGACAGAAGCGGTGCTGCCACAGCCAAGCCCCCCCAGCCTGGCACAGCCACCGCCCCCGGATGGTGCTGGCCGTACCTTGCAGCGTTTGCAGGCACTGGCCCGTCTTGATATCCCAGATCTTGACCGTGGAGTCCGCGTTGCCAGAGACCAGGATGTTGTCGCGCAGCTCCATGCCGCTGGTCAGGGACTGGTGCCCCATCAGCGTGTGCAGGCAGTTGCCGCTGTCAGCATCCCAGACGCGGATCGACGTGTCCAGGGAGCCGCTCACGATGTGGGTGCCGTCGAACTGCACGACAAGAACGAGCAGGGGGACTGAGCGGGAGCCACGCCGGGGCCGGGGGCCGGGGCCGGGGCCGGGGCTCCCAGGCTCACCTGCAGGGAGTAGACACGGTTGCTGTGGCCCTGCAAGGTGTGGATGCAGCTCTCCGTCTCGGGGTCCCAGACCTTCACGGTGTAGTCGTACGCGCCGCTCACCACCTTGCGCCCGTCGTACTGGACGCAGCGCACGGCAGCCACGTGGCCCATCAGCACGTGCAGGCACTGCCCCGTCTCGATGTCCCACAGGCGCAGCGTGGCGTCCCGCGAGCCGCTCACCACCCTGCAGGGAGAGAAGCGGCTCGTCTGGCCTTCCGTAGAGCGCCAGGGAGGCTCCCCCGAGGCGCGACCTGCCCGCCCGCCCGCCCGCACGCACCTGGTGCCGTGAAGGTGCATGCAGCGCACGGTGGACGTGTGCCCATGCAGCGTGTGCACACAGTCGCCTGTGTCGGCATCCCACACCTTCAATGTCCGGTCGGTGGAGCCGCTGATCACGATGTTGCCCCTCATCTGCGACGACCAGACCCCACCCGTGTGCCCCACCAGGGTCTGCACGCACTGCGGGGGAAGAGGAAGAGGAGGTGGCTCAGAGCAGCAGGGAGGGGCGCCCCGGCACAGCCAGCCCCGGCAGGCGGGGACTCACCTCGCCGGTCACGGCTGACCAGACCTTGAGCGTGTTGTCATCCGAGCCACTCACGATGCGGTTGCCACAGAACTGGAGGCAGGTGATCACGTGGTCATCGTGGCCCTTCAGGACCTGCACCGGAAAGAGGCCTCGGCAGTGAGCTCGGCCACCGCGAGCAGCTCCCGTTGGCTTTCTGTGAAGCCGCAGCAACGGGTCGGTTCAGGCTCCAAGCGAGAGGAGGGCGGATGCCCGCCAGCTCAGGCGCTCCACAGCGACCTGAGCGCACTGGCGCAGAGGCAGCCACAGCAGCTCCCCCGGTCTATGCCGGTTCTGAGTCGGATCTGCCTGAGCTGCTGCATGGGGATCGCTGGCAGGGCCCCTCTGTGGGACCGGGCGCACTGGCAGTGGCCCAGCAGGAGCCTGCTCAGAGGCCTCCTGCCATTGGGAGGTGCAGAAACACAACTCTTCTCACACCCCATTTATACAGCACCCTTCTTGCTTTTCCAAGGACCCTGGAGTGACCCCAAGGTTCTTCTCTCTCCGTTTTATCCTCACAGTAACAAGGCTGTGGGGCAGGCGGGGCTGAGAGCCAGTGAGTGGCCCAAAGCCACACTGTGAGCGGCACAGCTGGGCCGAGGCTCGAGCTGGATCGCCAACGTGCTCGCCAACGCTTGGGCTGCCGCGCCCACGGCTCCCTAGTAGGGACTGCACTGGAGTCCTGAATGTTTTGTTGCCCGCTGTCACACTGACCTTGCCAGGCCGGGTGAGCACGAACCGAGGTCTGAGCAGAGGGTGGAGGAAGGCAACAGTCCTCTGAGCGGGAGGGTGGGACCCAGTGGCTTTCTGGCCCCTTCCCACTCTGCTCTTCTATGATCCTAACCCCAGAGCAGCCCCCTATCAGTTGGTTGCACAATCGATTCTAGCAAAAGAGACCTTTGCTCTTGCTTCAGTCTCACTGGCACCTTCCAAGTGTGATCCTTGACCAGAGTATTCTGAAGGAGGACAGAGGCTCGTGAGGCTGGGCATGCAGCATAGGAGAAGCCCAGGTCCCGTACCTTGGGGGGGCGAGCATCCCCACTGCGCCAGTTCATGTCAATGCGGTGCTGTCGCAAGAAGGCCAGTTTCCAGGGGCTGTACATGAAGCCCGGACTGAGCAGCCGGCGCTTGCGAAGGCTCAGGGGCTCTTCAATGCCTGCGGAGGCAGGAAGGAGCACAAGTGGGCTGGGAGCACACGGCGGAGGCCTGGGAAGCCGGGGAGGGCAGCTGCTGGGCCTCACCTACGTCGCGGCACTTCTCCCGCCAGAGCAGGTTATCCTCTGCCAGGATGCGCCAGTAGCGACAGGTCTGGGCGGCGCGCAGCAGGTCGCGTGGCTCCAGGAAGGAGAGCACGTAGAGCGCGAGCTGCAAAACGAGCACGAGACCCGACTCTCTGCTGCCCTGCCGCTCCACACGGCGGCGGCACGAAGCGCTGGCCGAGAGTCCTCTCCCCGACGGGCTGGACCAGCGCGGTGCAGCATCCCGGGTAGAGCAAGCGGCCACAGGAGAGCCCGGCTGGGCCAGGGAGCCAGCCCAAGCCAGCCCGGCAGCCTCCGGCCCCAGAGCCACCGGGGAGCAGCAGGTCCTGCCCAGCAAACCACCGCCAAACGTGGCAATTCCCCTTTCTTCCCCTTCCAAGACCCCAACTTAGTCTTCTTGAAGCTGCATCCAAGGCCAGTCTAACTTAAACCCCATTTATTTCGAGGAGTCTACCCGAAGTCCGACTAGCACTGGATTCAACCCTTGATACTTCTAACTAGTACCACCCCCGCTGCGAAGACCCCAGCAGCGCTTCCCCAACTCGCTCCGTCCCTGCCCAGCTGCCCTGCCTCAGAAACACTCACCTCCTTGGGCAGAAGCGAAATGAAGTCACGCTGGAACTGGGGCTCGATCACCTGCATCATGTGCTTGATCTGGGGCGGCTCGCAGCGGTCGATGAGCTCATCCAGGGCCAGCAGCTTTTCCGGGCCGCTCCAGTGCTGCGGGAAGGAGCCACGGAGTGGGGACGGCGTGAGCCACAGGCCCCATTTAGCCAACAGGCCCCTGCCTGTCTTGGGCTGATCCAAGACCACAAGGAAGGGCACAAAGTGACCCAAGCGACAGTGACAACAGCTAAGATCCTGCAGCTTAGAAAACCGGTGAGCAAGAAGAGACACGATGAAGCAGTTTAGAATTATGTATTGTGTGGAAACGGAGAGGGAGAGACTCTGATGCAAAGAGGTCGCCCGTGCAGCTGACTGGGGAGAGATTCAGAACAGATCGAAGGAAAAACTTCTTTGCCTGGCACATAGATAAATAAGGGCATTCCTTCTGCAAAATTGGCAGTGGCTGCCAATCCAAGTGGCTTTAAAAGGGGAGTGGACAAATTCCTGCAGCAGAAGGCCATCCGTGGCCACCGGCCTTGTTGGCCATCTGCGCCCCCCTTTACTAACTAAAGGCAGCATCCCTGCATATGCCAGTCACCAAGAAGCCCTTGTGGGTGGAAGGAGCTCTTGCACCCGTCCTGCTGGAGGGATCCTCTGGGCAGCTGCTTTGCCGTCATGTGAATGGAGTGCTGGAAGCAATTCCTGGCATCCATCCTAAAACCCGGTTCTTTGCCCCATTGAATCGCATCCTTTCCTCCACCACAGGGGAGAACAACTCGCGGCCCTCCACCATGACACCCCTTCGCATACCCGTAAGTCACTATAAGATCCCTTCAGAGTCTCCTCCTCTCCAAGCTGAAAAATCGCAGTTCCCTCAACCTCACACCGCCCCCATTCAGCTACCATCCTTGTGCCCCCGGCCTTGCGGGGTCCCTCTCGTACCGCGGAGCCCAGTACTGGGTGCAGCACTCCAGCTGGGGGCGCATCAGAGTCTTGCAGAGCAGCACCAGCACTTCTCTCACTCTGCAAGCCTCACCTCTGGCCGTTTATTTATTTAGTCAAAGCTTTTCTAGCCCGTCCCCTACGGAACGTCCCGGAACAGCTTACAATAAGCAAGCAGAATAAAGCAAACCCCACAGCTATACATCCCAGGGTGGCGTTCACCCTTTTGACCAGCTGCTGGCTCACACTTAGCTTGCTGTTGATGACCCAGCCCTAATCTGGAGCGCCTGCTCCTCCGTTGCAGCCACTGCCCCCACTTTGGTACCATCTGTGAATTTGGTCAGCAGACTGGTTCTCCCTCCCTCCAGGTCACTGATGAAAAGGTCAAACGGAATCAGTCCCAAAACGGCCCTGGGGATCTCCACTTGCCATCCTGCTGACTCCCCACTGACAGTTACCTTCTGTTTGCAGTCCGTCCACCAAGCCCAAATGCATTAGGCAGCACACTGAGCTACCCTGAAGCTTATCAGTTTCTCAACCAGCATTGTGAAAACCTATCCAATTATCCTGAATTATCAAAACAGCCCACTCAGATTCTTAAAGTCTACGCTAAAATTCAAAGCAGCAGTGAACAAAGGAGAAGCGAACGCAGCACGAAACGGAATCTGCCAGAACTGCAAGCCTGCGCGAGCGCTTTCCAGCCCTGCGCTCCACTAGCTACCCGAGTGCGAAGAGGGAGCGTGGTGTGGGAGCCAACGGGCCTCGCTCTGCATCAGGTGGCTGCGGCCTCAAGGCAGAGCCAGAGCAGCCACACTCCGAGCAGCATCTCCTTCCTGCTAATACCTGGCCACTCACCTGGAAAGTCCGCAGCCAGTCCTGCAGCTCAGGGGGTGGGGTAACAGAGGGGACGTGACGACAGCGTGCCTGACCTGCCTTGGCATTCCGCAAGTCTCCAAAAGTGGCAGTGGGACTAGCGACGCAGGGGGCCAGCATCCTAGGCGGGAAACAGAGGCACTGAGAGGCAGGGAAGCTGGGCAGCACAGCATCTTACCTGGCGAGAATCAGCTGGTCAAGCCACAGTTCCCACCTGCACATGGTACCATGCAGCCACTCCCACAAGTGCCTTACCTGCCCCTTTCAGGACCTCTGCACAGCTTTTTGCCAGGGGACTGCGCTCTGCCGTCCAGGCCATTCTCTGACTTCCGCTTCATCTGCAGCACGAAAAAGCCCGTGGGCCGGGCAGGGGTCATGCCAGGTCAGAAAGGGCTTCAGCTCAGGTGAGACCGGGCAGGGCAATGCACCTGAACACCCTATGTCATAACTAGTTCAGCAGGCCAACAGGAACAAGGGGTAAACCTGCCGCCACAAGATGCAGCGATGGCCACCACGTCGGATGGTTTTACAAGGGCACGGACAAGCACCTGGTGAAGAAGGCATTCCGTGGCCACTAACCCTGATGGCCACGCACTGCTGCCAGCATCAGGGGCAGCATGCCTACCTGCACCAGGTGCTGAGGACCGCAGGTGGGGCACACTATGGCACTCTTGCCCTGCCACGGGCTTCCTGTTAGCCACTGGCTGCCCACTGTGGGAACAGAAGGCCCTGCTCTGGCACGACCTCCAGATGCTCTGACAGCCTGCCCTTCTCCTTGGGGCAGCTGGGGCTGCATTTCCTGCCTTCGTCAAGTTCCCACCAGGAGACGATCTGTTGCACGGAATGCCAATCCAAACCACGAGTCCCACGAGTGAGGCTGCCCAACTGCGGCAGAGTGCATCGTGGCCACAACAGCCTCCTGGGAGACAGCATTGGCCAGTGCCCTCCGGGACCCTGAGGGCCAGTGAGGTTGCGCAGAGGAAGGAGGCAACCCAAAGGCCATCCGGCTGGGCCCCGGCCATGGCGGTGTGGCCGCCCACAGGCTGAACCGGGAGCTGCGGCGGCCTGCACAGCAGCACAAGCCACAGCAACTCGGAAGCGCAGCGCCTCCGCTGCTGCCCCGGCGCAACAGAGCCCAGGCAGCAGCCGCGCCACCCCCCGCGGCCGCCTCACCTTGGGCCGAGCGTGGCGGATCAGGCCGCCTCCTTCGGTGCGCTCCAGGTAGTCGATCCAGCGCTCGTCCACCGTGTAGTAGAAGGAGAGCCCGCCGCCGCCCTCCTCGCCGCCGCTGCTGCTGCCGCCGCCGCTCTCCTCATCCTCGGACACCGGGCGCTGCGCGCGCTCGGCGCCCCTGCCGGGCTCGGCCGCGCCGCGCGTCTCCCAGGGGCCCCGCGCGGGCGCCGGCTCGCCCTCCGCCTCCGCCGCCTGCGAAGGGCGCGCGAGAGAATCACCGCCTGGCGGGCTGCCCGGGGCCGCCCCCCTCCTGCCGGGCTGCCCCGGGC